CCGAGGAGGCTCAGGACAGGGATGAGCAGCCCCTGCAGCCCCGCGCCCTGCGCTGCGTCCTCGGGTCAGAGCCAAGACCAGCCCGAGACGAGCGTCATCAGAAAATAGTTTAATTATGTACAGGCGGCCTCAGGCTGATCACACCTGGGACACGACGTCACGTGAGACAGAGGACCGAGCAGAGCTCTCCCCAGAGGGGACGCTCTCAGGGACGGTCCTGGACCAACAAATCACAGACTCGACGACGGGGGACGCGAATCAGCACTTTCCTTTGGGAAAAAGAGAAGAGGAGACCCAGAGGCTCCGGAATGCTCTTCGCCAGGCGGGGCTCGTCCTCCGAGGGCGCAGCGGCCATCGGTGCAGCGGCGTCGCCCACGCCTCAGCCTGGCGGGCCCTGCGGCCAGCAGCAGCTCCTGGTCCACATGCAGCTCTGAGCAGAGGGCTCAGAAGAGGGGCCGGGCGCCCTGGCTCTCGAACTCGGACCAGGCGTCGCTCAGCTCCATGAAGATCATCCTGGCCTGCTGCTCGTAGGGCTGCCCTGTGGCCTGGGGACGGAGGGGATTGTGGTCCCATGCCAGCTCCTGGCATCCCTCCCGGCTCACCTCCCAGTGGACCTGCCCGGTGGGCACTCACCTCCCCAGTGGACCCGCCCAGTGGGCGCTCGCCTCCCAGTGGACCCGCCCAGTGGGCGCTCGCCTCCCAGTGGGCGCTCGCCTCCCAGTGGCCCCGCCCGGTGGGCGCTCGCCTCCCAGTGGGCGCTCGCCTCCCAGTGGCCCCGCCCGGTGGGCGCTCGCCTCCCAGTGGGCGCTCGCCTCCCAGTGGACCCGCCCAGTGGGCGCTCGCCTCCCAGTGGACCTGCCTGGTGGGCACTCGCCTCCCAGTGGCCCCGCCCGGTGGGCGCTCGCCTCCCAGTGGGCGCTCGCCTCCCAGTGGCCCCGCCCGGTGGGCGCTCGCCTCCCAGTGGGCGCTCGCCTCCCAGTGGCCCCGCCCGGTGGGCGCTCGCCTCCCAGTGGGCGCTCGCCTCCCAGTGGACCCGCCCAGTGGGCGCTCGCCTCCCAGTGGACCTGCCTGGTGGGCACTCGCCTCCCAGTGGCCCCGCCCGGTGGGCGCTCGCCTCCCAGTGGCCCCGCCCGGTGGGCGCTCGCCTCCCAGTGGCCCGCCTGTGCTCACCTTGTCGGGGTGCACCACCAGCACGGCCCGGCGGTACTGCTTCTTCACCTGCTCGGGCGTCACCAGGTCAGCCATGCCCACGGGCGTCCAGCGGCTCTCGCCGTCCCACAGCACGGTGTGTAGTGTGGACAGCAGGGCGCGGATGTTCCTCTCCTTGCCCTCGGTCCAGCCCAGGAGCTGGGGAAACGTGGAGTTGCAGGCAGGAGTCCTGGCCCAGCCCCTGCGTGGGCCAGCATCGCAACACTCCGCATGTGTCCGCCCCAAGCAAGCCCCCAACGCCACAAGAACAGGCCCTGTCCCACTTCCTGTGCTGACCCTACCAGGCACGGCCAGCACCACTCCCAGGCCTGGCCGGACCCCACATGGGACACGACAGCGTGGAATTCATGGCCAGCCTCCCCCCTGCAGCCGCACAGCCTGTCCTGGAGCTCCAGGGCCCAGCAGGACAACAGGCCAGGCTCCGGTGGCCTGTCAGTGGCCCGCACCCCATCTCCACCCATCGGGAGTGAAGACACCTGGCTTAGGCACCCAGCAGAGGCCGGAGTGCATGCGGCAGACGCCTCCCCCAGGGGGCCTCAGGCAGGTCGCCCTGCGGGCTGGGGTTAGTGCGGCTAGAATTCCCGAGGAGCCAGACCCCAAGTACGGAGCACAGAGCCTCCACCTTCAGCCTGAGGCTGCCCGAGCGGAGCCGCTGGGGGTGGGGGTGGGGGGGGCTGTGCGGCCGCTTCGCATCCACTGCGAACTCTCCGAGGCCAGGAGCCCGGGCGGGAGACGCCCCCAACCCTCCCAACGTGCAGCTGGCCCGGCAGCTGCTGCCACGCGGCGAAGGCAGGTGATCGTGGCCCCGGGAAACCTCAGCGCCAGGACCAGGGCCACACGGGATGCCCTGGGCGACCCGGACCGCTCTGCCGCCGCCGCTGCCACTGCCCACCTTCAGCTTGAGCGGGTCCGTGTCCCTCGCCTGGTCCTGCCTCCTCATCTCGGCGATGGTCCTCGGCCCCTTCCTGTCGGCCTTGGAGGAGAAGCCCTGGTTCGACAGCAGGTCTTCAAAATGGTTCTCCGACACCCGCGGCTTCTGAGCTGGAGGGGAGGGGTTGGACATGGCTGCTGACCCTCTGCCCACTGGACCTTGTGTGGGAAGCACCCACAGGGCTCCCTGGGGGCAAAGGTCACCCACCGCCTGGGGCTGACGTGGCTATGCCATCCCAGGGATGACACCGCAGCCAGGCCAGTTCCCGGCAGCATGGGCCTGGCCACCTGGGCCGCGACGGAGACACCACAGACACCATCAGAACCGCGCCCCCACCCAGGTGTGGCTCCTATGGTGAGGGCTCTGGGCCCAGAGCTTTCCCGGGAGAAAGTCCACACGGTGGGAAGAGGACTCACCAAAGCTGGGGACGCGGACACCCCGCTCCTCTCGGCCGCCGATAACGCTGAAGCTCGCGTAGTTAGGCCTTGGCTGTGCACAGGTTTTGGGGGGTGGTTTGGTCTGGGGGGCCCGTGGGGCGCCCTGGGTCGGGGGCCGACTTGTCTGCCAGGAGCTGCCGCCCTTGGGAGGGGGAGCTGCTTTGGGACCGAAGCCCCCAGGAGTGAATCCACCGGGTGAGCCTGGGGAGACAATTCTGGGCGGTGAGCGTGAACATGGGGCAGCGCCTGGTCCGTGAGGGAGTCTCAGAGACACAGGCATTGCAAAACCAACGTTTAGTTGGGGGCCAGGATGCAGGGCGAGCAGCCATCAGAGCGGCTCCCTGTGGGCGACGGGGGGACAGCTGCAGGGGCTGTGCTCACAGAGCGCAGGGCTGGCTCCTTAACCTTTATCTGGAAACAGACTCACAGGATCCGGAACCAGAGCCCAGAGCCCGGCACACGCAGCAGGCAGGAACCCACGTCGGCACAGCTCAGGCTACTGCCGGCTGCTACAAGCACGCGGCCACTCGTGTGCGGCCACGTATGTGCTGCCATATGGGTGTGTGCACGTGTGCGCACACGTATGCTCAGCTCTGTGCCATCCTACCACGCATTCCTATTTGTGTGAGCACTGGGTCCAGGTACCCATCTGTTCACCATCTCTGTGACTCACTTCAACAATGTTCTAGAAACGGCCTGGCTGGCGTGGCTCAGTGGTTGAGCTTCGACCTATGAACCAGGAGGTCATGGTTCGATTCCCAGTCAGGGCACATGCCAGGGTTGCAGGCTCGATCCCCAGTGTGGGGTGTGCAGGAGGCAGCCAATCAGATTCTCTCCTCACTGACGTTCCTCTCCCCCCCTCTGAAACCTACCTATCGTCTATCATCTGTCTGCCTGTGTCTACCTGCCTATCGATCAATCTATCCACCTATCTAGCTAGCTATCTATCCGTCTATCGATCTATCCATCTATCTGTCTAGCTATCTGTGTCTACCTGTCTATCGATCTATCCGTCTACCTGTCTAGCTATCCGTCTGTCTGTGTCTACCCGTCTATCGATCGATCTATCTATCCGTCTATCTATCTGTCTAGCTATCCGTCTGTCTGTGTCTATCCGTCTATCTATCGATCTATCTATCCGTCTATCTATCTATCTGTCTAGCTATCCGTCTGTCTGTGTCTACCCGTCTATCGATCGATCTATCTATCCTTCTATCTATCTATCTGTCTAGCTATCCGTCTGTCTGTGTCTACCCGTCTATCGATCTATCTGTCTAGCTATCCGTCTGTCTGTGTCTATCCGTCTATCTATTGATCTATCTATCCGTCTATCTATCTGTCTAGCTATCCGTCTGTCTGTGTCTATCCGTCTATCTATCGATCTATCTATCCATCTATCTATCTGTGTCTACCCGTCTATTGATCTATCCGTCTACCTATCTGTCTAGCTATCCGTCTGTCTGTGTCTACCCGTCTATCGATCTATCGGTCTATCTATCTGTCTAGCTATCCGTCCGTCTGTGTCTACCCGTCTATCTATCGATCTATCTATCCGTCTATCTATCTATCTGTCTAGCTATCCGTCTGTCTGTGTCTACCCGTCTATCTATCGATCTATCTATCCGTCTATCTATCTGTCTAGCTATCCGTCTGTCTGTGTCTACCCGTCTATCGATCGATCTATCTATCCGTCTACCTATCTGTCTAGCTATCTGTCCGTCTGTGTCTACCCGTCTATCGATCGATCTATCTATCCGTCTATCTATCTGTCTAGCTATCCGTCCGTCTGTGTCTATCCGTCTATCTATCGATCTATCTATCCGTCTATCTATCTATCTGTCTAGCTATCCGTCTGTCTGTGTCTACCCGTCTATCGATCGATCTATCTATCCGTCTATCTATCTATCTGTCTAGCTATCCGTCTGTCTGTGTCTACCCGTCTATCGATCTATCTTTCCGTCTATCTATCTATCTGTCTAGCTATCCGTCTGTCTGTGTCTATCCGTCTATCTATCGATCTATCTATCCATCTATCTATCTGTGTCTACCCGTCTATCGATCTATCCGTCTACCTATCTGTCTAGCTATCCGTCTGTCTGTGTCTACCCGTCTATCGATCTATCGGTCTATCTATCTGTCTAGCTATCCGTCCGTCTGTGTCTACCCGTCTATCGATCTATCTATCCGTCTATCTATCTGTCTAGCTATCCGTCTGTCTGTGTCTATCCGTCTATCTATCGATCTATCTATCCGTCTATCTATCTGTCTAGCTATCCGTCCGTCTGTGTCTACCCGTCTATCGATCGATCTATCTATCCGTCTACCTATCTGTCTAGCTATCCGTCCGTCTGTGTCTACCCGTCTATCGATCGATCTATCTATCCGTCTATCTATCTGTCTAGCTATCCGTCCGTCTGTGTCTACCCGTCTATCGATCGATCTATCTATCCGTCTATCTATCGATCTAGCTATCCGTTCGTCTGTGTCTACCCGTCTATCGATCGATCTATCTATTCGTCTATCTATCGATCTAGCTATCCGTCCGTCTGTGCCTATTGATCTGTCTAATATGTTAAATGCTCTAGAAAGGGACTCGGAAAGCAGGTAGCCTCTGCAGGGAGCTCACTCAGGATGCCTCCTTGTACCGCTGAGCATCATTTTCCAGGGACGCAGCAAGGTTCGCTCAACCACCAGCCCGGTGTGGAGGGATTACAAACCAAGCTGCTGTGAACACGTGTATACAGGCATGAACACGTGTACAGGCCTGTACACGCCTGCGCCTCCATCTCTCTGGGTGAATGCCGATTGTGTGTCTACTTTTATAGAAACTGGCCCTCACTTCCCAGCAGCTGCAAGTGAGCGAGGTCTCCTGGCACCTCTCCAGGGGCTGGGGGCTCGCTGGCTCCGCATGCCTCTGCTGGGCGTCTCCTCTGACCGATGCGCCCATTTCCTCATGTTCCATGGACAGCGGGTGGCCCTCACGCTGACGAGGTGCCGGGGGCAGGAACGGCACCCTTGCTCACACCCGCCACCTGGCACGGCTGGTGTCGAAGCTGTTTCACCCGTACCGTGCTGTGCTGTGGGGCCGGCGGGAGCCGTGCCGTGGGGCCCGGCAGGAGCTGTGCCGTGGAGCCCGGCGGCCTCCCACCTGCAGCACCTCTCCGCCTCTGCAGCTTGTCCTTTGCTCTCCGGTGGGTCCTGCCTTCAACTTCACGGGCCTGGCCCCATCCTTCCCTTCCTCCCGTTAGCCCTGAGCTGAGATGAGGCTCCGTGGTGACGAGCTCTCATCTTCTCCCAGCGGCACTGCACGTGCACCCAGGTCCGGAGACTCCCACCTCCACCCTCATCTGGTGCAGCACCCCCGCCCCCCACATCCCGAGAGCAGCTGTTCTGTCAGGTTCTCACAGCTGTGCCTGGTGTCCCGCTGGCCCTGTGGTCAGAGCAGGACGATGAGCCGTGACCCTCCTGTGACACGGCCCCAAGGTGCCGGCTGCAGGGGCAGGAGGACGTCCGTGGCTCGTGCAGCGGTGCCCGGCCCCCGCCTGCTGGCAGCGAGCAGTGTCCCCAGGTTTGGAGGAGGGTGTGGTCTCCAGCAGAGGCTGAGCCTGTTTATTTCTCCTCTCAGTGCCGCCAGCTTTATTCAAACTCGCCTTGCGGGGGCACGACACGGCGTCGGGCGCAGTGCAGAGCAGAGGGCCGGCTCCATCCTGAGCACGGACGACTCAGATCGGGAAGTCCTCCTCACGGGGTCTGCAGCCAACAGCCCGGGCGGTGCCCAGGAGTCCCCTCCACATCGCTGTCCTGAGCAGGGCCACACAGAGCTGGGCACCCAGAGACACTGCAACCTCAACTCCAGGAAACTTTAAAGAACCAACTGCCCACAAAACGAAAACCTCCAGGATCAACAAGACGGCAGCAGCGGGCCAGCGTGGCTCAGTGTCGAGTGTCGACCCAGGAACCAAGAGGCTGTGGGCGCGACCGGCAGTGGGGGGCGCGGGAGGCGGCCCACGGATGATTCCCGCCCGTCACTGCTGTCTCTCTCTCGCTCCCTCTAAAAATCAGTCACAGCATCTTTTTTAAAAAAGAAATCCTATAACCTTTACCGAAAAAAAAAAAAAGCAGAAGGGCCCACGTGACGTGGGGTGGATGTCGGCCCTACAGACGCCGCAGCAGGAGCGGGAGGCGGGGGCAGGGGGAGACGCTGGGTCAGCTGAGCAAGCCTCCCCAGGAGACATCACTTCCAACCAGGAGTTCCACCCACCCACTTGCTGAGGGAGGAGACTCAGATACCCACATGTGTCTGGAGGCACCAAGGGGCCAGGGACCCGGGTCCCAGGGCGTCGAGTCAGCTCTGGGAGGTTCGAGCCACAGGCAGGCATGACACTGGGGCCCCTACATGGAGACCCAGCACCTGTGCGGCAGCTTGGTCCCCAAGCCCCGGCCACAGGGCAGGCGGCTGCTCCGAGGGTCACTATGCCCTGGGCCTTGGGGACGGAGGGGCAGGCCCATCTGGGCACTGAGCCTGGCAGAGGGAGTGGGCGGAGGACCGAGCACCTCACCTTGGAGGCTGGAGCTGAGGTCCCCGAGGTCTGCAAACGGGTCCAGGCTCTGAGACTTGGCCCGGCTGGCTGGGGGGCCGGGAGGGGCTGGCTGGCCACCAGGAGAGAAGAAGGGGCCTGGAGAAGGACAAAGGACATTAAAACAAGCGCCATCGCAGGGAGACGCAGCCCAGCTCTCTGCCGAGGCTCCCGACGGCCTCGCGCAGCTCTGAGGCTCAGGCGCCAGACACGGACACGCACGAGAGCAGGGCTGCTTCCGCTGCCCCCACAGAAGACCCCTGATGCATAAAGACCTAAACGTCTGTGTCCTCCTGACTTGGTGCTGCTGCTCCTGGACCCCCCCCACCCCCGCCATCTGAATGTGCTTTGTGACAGATATTTTAGCTCTTACTGTTGATACTGTGACGGCTGCCCTCCCTTCTCCCTCTGCTCCCGCTCCCCCTCCCCCTGGCCATCACCACGCTGCTGTCTATGAGCTCTGCACGTATGTTCTTCGGCTAATCCCCGAATCTTCTGCCACCCAGCCCCTCCCCCTCCCCGTCAGTCTGTTCCATGGCTCCAGGCCCCTGGTTCTATTCTGTTTATTGTGTTCATTAGATTCCAGAGGAGATCATGTGATACTTGTCTTTCTCCGACTGACTTATTTCATTTAGCACGAACTCTCCCGGTCCCTCTGTGCTGTCGCAGAGTGAGAGGTCCTTCTTTCTGACGGCTGCACAGTGTTCCCTGGTGCAGATGTGCCACAGCTTTAACCTACTCACTAGAGGCCTGATGCACAAAATGCGTGCAAGAGTAGGCCTTCCTTCCCCCAGCTGCTGGCACCGGCTTCCTTCTGGCTCCTGGGACCCAGGCTTCCCTCTCAGCACCCGCTTCGTCTGGAAGGCTGTCTGGTCTAATTAGCATATTATGCTTTTATTATTATAGATCTGCTGATGGGCACTCGGGCTGTTTCCAGATCTTAGCTATTGTAAGTTGTGCTGCTATGGACATAGGGGTGCATATATCCTTTCTAATTGGTGTTTCTAGTTTCTTGGGATGTATTCCTAGAAGTGGGGTCACTGGGTCAAATGGCAGCTCCATTTTTAGTTTTTTGAGGAAACTCCACACTGTTCTCCACAGTGGCTGCACCAGCCTGCACTCCACCAGCAGAGCCCGAGGGCTCCCTTTTCTCCGCATCCTCCCAGCACTGGCCATGTGCTGGTGGTAGCCATCTGACAGGTGTGAGTGATACTTTATTGTTGCTTTAATCTGCATCTCTCGGATGATCAGTGACACTGAGCACTTTTTCATGTCTCTTGGCCGTCTGTATGTCCTCTTTGGAGAGGTGTCTATTTAGGTCCTTTGCCCATTTTTAATTGGACTGTCTTCCTGGTGTTGAGTTGTGTGAGTTCTTTATATATTTTTAAGCGAGCCCTTATCAGATGCATCGCTGTCAGATACAGCCTCCCACTCAGTGGGCTCCCTTTTCACTCTGACGTATAATGTTCTTTATAATGGTGTCAGTTTGAGACTAAGTGTCAGAAACTGAAATATCGGAGTAAACTGCTGTCCAGCCACTCGGAGGAACAGAACCACTACAAATGCTGGCGGCCCCACAGGAAGGGGCTCTTACAAGCTCATAGGCAGGAGCATTTCCTATGCAAAAAGGAACGTAAAACAGTTCTCAAAAAAACCACAAAAAACAAGGACATAAAGTAACAGTTAACCTCACGTGCAGATTGCGATGCAAATGGAAATAGTGGGCAGTCTACCAAAGTGGTCTTTAGTCATCGTCCAGCTTTGGTGAGACTGGAGGCTGGGGGGCTCCTGGGCAAGCCAGTCACCAGGAGGAGCTGAGGGGCCGCTGCCACAGGCCTCGTCACAGGGTCACCTCCGACAGCCCCGCACAAGCCAGTTTCCCAACAGGACAGAATCACAGATGGAGGAAAGGACAGATGTCCAGCCAGTGAACGTGGGACCCCCTCCGTGTCCTGGGCAGGCTCCCCAGAGTCACAGCAACCGCGGGACACAGCCACCACTCAGAGACGCTGCGGTGAGAGGGTCGCCGGGGGCCGTGTCCTACACACCACGCGCCCACAGGAGACGAGGAAGGGAGCACGTGAAGGGCACCTGGCGCCTGTGCACACCTGCAGGAGCAGGCAGGGAGGAGGGCAGGGCGCCCTGGGACAGCCCTGGACCTGCTGACCAGGGTGTGGCCCGTGCCACCAGGACCCCTGTCCCTGGGAGGGCATGGTTGTGTCTTGGCGACATGGAGGAGGGGCAGGGCCGTACCGTCTGTGGCTGGAGCGGGGGCCGGGGCCTCGGCCCAGGAGTCCCATCCTCCCAGCAGGTCCGGGTGGCTGGCCGAGGTGGACATCCTGCTGGGCTCGGCTGGCACGTCCCCTGGGAGAGAGCAGCAGCATGTGTGGGGCCCAGTGGGGGTGGACCGTGGCCTTCAAATGGCTCCTACCCACCGTCCCCACACACACCCACACACAGACACCTGCCACGTGGGAGCAGGAGGGACAGAGAACGGCCGGCTGGTGCACCTGGTCAAGTCCCAGTGGGCCCTGCTGGCTCAGCCAGCACTGACCAGCCTCCCCTCCTCACAGGCTGTGGATGCCTCATGCCACTGAAGGGACCAAGGAGAAGGGTGAGCGGGAGGAAAAGCCATGTCCGCCTCCCGCAGAGGCTCACACACTTCACTCACAGTGCACAGGGTGCCCCCAGGATCTTTGCCCACCCTCCCCGGAACCTAGCAGAGCACGAGGGTGGACACCAGCGGCCACCTCATCCTCCGGGAGGGAGGCCCTGCAGCCCTGCAGCTACTCACCCAGCTGCAGGAAGTCGGTGCCGCAGGCCGGGGGCGGGGCGCTGTGGGTGGAGGGGAAGGACGCAGGCTGAGCGGCCAGAGAGTCTGAATTAAGAAATTCCCCCAAGAGATTGGGCTTGGAGCAGGGCTGGGCATCTAGATCGGATGTCAGCAGGAGAGGGTCGAACGGGTCGGCTGCAGAGACACCAGGAGCGGGCAAAGTGAGGCGTGTGTAGGCACCACAGGAGCACCCAGCCCAGAGCGCCAGGCCCCCGGCTGCGCAGCCTGGACGATGAGCCCACCCCGTGGGCCCAGGAGGACACGGAGGGACCGAGAGCTGGGCACATCCTCAGCCCCAACACCCTCGCCTCAGACAAGCAGCCGAGAGGACGTGAGCTCAAGGCGGGGGGGGGGGGGGGGGGAACCCCCGCAGTGCGGCCCCGCTCGCCCATCCTCAGCTCTTCCCAGGCCCTGGCGGCTCACAGACCTGGAGGCCAAACCACTGGAACCCTCTCAGCTCACATACCAGCTGCGGGGGGCCCGCCCGTGGTGGGGGCGGGGCTGGTGAAGAGCAGGGGGGTCTCCCCACCGAGGAGGTCGCCTGGGGCACCCTCGGGAGCAGACTCCGGGGCTCCCAGGAGGCAGCTGAGCAGGTCGGCGTTGCTGGTGGGGCCCCCAGGGGCCGGAAGGGGCGCCGGCCCTGCCTCGGAGTGCAGCCCCAGCAGGTCGACGCCGTCTTCTGGCGGCCTGGGCTCCTGCGGCGTGGCCGGCCTGTTCGCATCAAAAATCAACTCTTGCTCCGGGGCCTTCGCTGCTGGGCCTGGCATGTCTTCGTCCACCGTGTCCCTGCTCTCGGCGGAGAGCGTGGCCGCATCCTCGTCCGACAGCTCGCTCTCCCCTGCGTCCTCGGCCGGGGCGGACGGTGCCTCCTGGGCCACGTTGCCCTCTGGGCCCGGCTCCCCGGCTCTCTCCTCTGAAAGAGAGCAGTGCGCTGACGGGCAACGGGCGGTGACGCAGGAGCCCGGGGGAGGGTCTGAGGGCAGCCGAGCGGCGCAGGCCTGCAGGCCCGGGCGTACCCTGCCAGTCCAGCGTGTGCAGGAAGTGGTTGGTGTCCGCGCCACTGCTCTGCGGGGACTCCGACTCCGTGGGCTCAGCGTCGGGAGATCCTGTCTCGGCGTCATACTGGGCGCTGGAGCCCGGCTGCCTGGGGAGCTCGGGCTTCCCTGCGGGGAGAGGAGGGCATCAGGCTACCGAGCCCCGGTGCACCGTCCTGTAGCAGCCGCAGCCCCACTCCAGACCACCGGGACCACCGAGTCCAGTCTGCAAATGGATCCCAGTGCAGGCTCAGACGCTGGCTTGGGTCACGTGTGCACACACATGTATACGCGCCTGTGCGCACACCACACACCTCGGGTACTTGGCCGTCTTCACGTAAGGAAATGTGCACAGTGCACCCAGGGCACGAGGGGTGCTGAGCCCCGGCCACAGGGGAGCACAGCCGCGGCCAGGGCACTGCCTACGCTACTTCCTGTAATTGCTCTGAAATAGGAAGACGAGACTGAGCTGAGCGGAGGGGCTGCCAGGAAAAAGCTCTGGCGTGCTGGCGGCCTGGCTGTGCCCAGCTGGTCCGGACGAGGCTCTCCGCCTGCTCCCGGTGCCGGGCAAAGGGGCTGCGCATCCAGAAAGCAAGCCCTGCTGCCAGGACAGACCTGGCCCTGCTGCGGGGCCGCCCAGGGCGCGGGAGGCGGTGGAGGGTCCTGGCACTGGCCCACAAGGACTCACCGAATTTAGACAGGACGTCCTGCTGCTCCTCTCGGCTGGAAAAGAGGATCTTGGGGTTCAGACCCCTCATGCTGGAGCTCTCCCAGGGAGGAGCCTCCCGGCTGGGCCTGTCTCGGGGCTCCACCTCCACCTCGAGGCTCACTTGGAACAGATCTGGGTATTTCTCCTGAATGTCACAGGCGTCCAGGTCATACCTGCAGGGGGGCCACACCCCAGTGAAGGGGGCAGGACCCGTTTCACAGCTCACCCCACGTCCCCCGGACACGAGCACAGACCAGGCTACACCCCAGTCCGGCCGCAGGAGTGCAGTGGGCGCAGTCTGTGCACCAGGCGTGAGCACCTCTCTGAGCAGCACCGGCTTGTCAGGGGAGCACTGGGCCTGCCCTCGCCCTGGGTCCAGGCCAGGCCGCCTGAGATACTAAATGTGTTTCCATGGAAATGATCACCCTACAAACGCCCCAATGGCTGACAGAGGCCCCGCCATCGCCTGCAGTGAGGGCAGCATGGTGGCCTGTTGCTGTGGGCCAGGGAGGCAGCACCCGCCTCTGCTGGGAGGGAAAGGGAACAGGCAAGAAGCCAAAGGCTCTGGTCTCCACGCACCACTGGAGGCAGCAGCCAGGGGCCGGGCACAGGGCGCACAGATGCGTCCAGGGCACGTGGCAGTAGTGACTTCAGGGACCACGGCACCGACCGGCTCTGCCTCTCCAGGGAACCCAGTGAGTTCACAGACACCCGAGGTCACCCTGACGCTCACGCGCTGAGAAACGCCGCAGCCCCGGGCGCAGGCCAGTGCACCCAGCACCTGTGTGCGTCTCCTTTCACGTAGCAGAGCAGTAAAATGCAAAACAGAAACACAAGACGGCAGCAGGTTCCCGAGACCCGAGGTGGGGAGGGAGGGCTCTGCCGCCCCCACTGTCCGTGGGGCACCACCCAAACCGCCCCCCACCCCCGGGCCAAAGGGGCCGAGGAGACACCACACAGGTGCTCAGCGAGGGCGGTGGAGCCACAGCTTCTCCACGGAACGAGCCCAGTGACACACCCTGGGTGGCGCCCACTGCTTCACGCTCCCCATCCACAGCTCTGCCAGGGACGCAGCAGAGCGCCGTGCACGCGCCCTCCTCTGCGGCGTCCCCTGCCCACCCGCCTGCCCCCGAGGCCACGGCTTGCCTGCCTTTCTAGGCTGGGCACCTGCAGCGAGCAGATGACACAGGCGACCTCCCCGGCAGGAGCCCCGCTGCAGCGAGGCCGGGAGGGGGGAGCCAGGCGGGGCCACGCAGGGGAGCACATGGCCTCGGCAGGTCAGCCCCAGGCACCACCCGGGGGCCACCCATCCGGCCTCCCCAGCCCCAGTGGCCCAGGAGACTGGCCAGGCCGGGCCCACCGCTGACCCAGCAGGCCAGTGAGGGCACAATGAGGGCCTGTGAGCAGGGAGCGGCTGGCCCTGGGCTGCAGAGGGACAGGGCCCTGCCCACTACCCCTGACACACTTGCTAGGAAACGAAGCACTGACTGAGGCAGAACTGGAGCCTTTCTTGACGCCAGGCAGACCAAGACAGAGGGGAGCTGCCCAGCACGTGGTCCCAAGGCCCACCAACCCCTGGAAAGACCAGCCTGGACAGCTGGCGCTGACTGGGACGCCCTAAGGCCCACCTACAGCAGACACACCAGGGCCCCGCCCGCTCTCCAAGCCCCGCCTGCCCTGCCCTCCTGTCCACGGGGCCTCCTGCTGGCCTTCTCCTCAGCGCGAGGGGCTCCTAGGGGTGCCCGAGAGGCACGCAGCCAGGGAGCGGGGCAGCTGGTCCCAGGCAGCCCGACCCGAGGCCCAGGCCGTGGCCGTGACCCTGCTCCTCGACCCCACAGGCTCCATGGAGCTGCTCAGGCACCTGGACTCGTGTCCTGCGCTCCTTCCTGACCAGGTCGAGAGCCCACAGGCCCCGGACAGTGCGGGACGCACCCTCTGGTGACCCCGCCAGCGCCCACCCCTGCGGCCCTCCCCGTGGGCGCCAACGCACTTGGCGAACTTCACGGTGGTGGCGTTCCGAGGCACGAACCCCGTGTGGAACTGGACCTGGAACATCTTCATGGACGCCATCTGCAGGGAGAGCACACCGGAAGCTGGGAGGGGACCGGGCCTCCCGTCACCCCACGAGCCCGAGGGCCCTGTACCAGCTCCCGGTGCTGAGCCCTGGGCGTGGGGACCGCACCCTCCCCCACAGCGGCTCCTCGGGCTCTAGGATCCCACACAGACGGCAGTGCCGACCTGGGGGGCCGGCAGGAAGGAGAGGCCCGCGGAGCGCACTCACCTTGGCCTGCAGCCTGCCTCCCAGGGTGGACCGCGCATGGTAGATGGCGATGAGCACGTCCCCTTGGACCGCCGTGCCCAGAGGGATGACCGCTTTGCCGTCCTCGATCCTGAAATCCCTGTGGGGAGGACAGGCGGGTCCCCGTGAGACAAAGCCATGCCCTGGGGCGGCACAGCGAGGCCTGGGACACAGCACGCCGGCCCCAGCAGTCTCAGCTCCCTGGTTTTGCTATGAACTGCCCGGGGGGGCGGGGAGGGTGCTCCAGGCAATACTTCCATGGAGCTTCTCAGCACGCCTTCGCCCTCGTGGGGAGCTTGCCGCTCAGCAGAGGCCTGTCTGCTGCGCCTCGGGGACCTGAGGCGGGGCTCCAGCCGCCAGGGCCCCTCCCATCCTCCCGGCGCGCCCTCGTTGCCCTGGCTTGTGCTCACCGCATCCTGTCGTACTCCTGGGACGTGGTGGCCACGCGCTCGTCCCCCACATAGACCTCGCAGAAGGGCCGACAGCCACTCCTCTGCTTGTTGAACAGCGGCACGGGCGTCATGACGATGGCCCGCACCAGGATCGGCTTGCTATGGGGCGTGATGGGCTCCTCCGCCACCATGTCACACATGTACTCGATGTACCTGAAGGAGACACAGCACATCACACATGTGCTGTGCACAGCCACACACGTCACACATGCTCTGCATGGCCACACACATCACACACATGCTCTGTGCATGGCCACATACCAGGTCACACGCATGCTCTGCACGACTACACACCACCTCACACACATGCTCTGCATGGCACATCACACACAGATCACACGCATGCCCTGCATGGCTGTACACATCACATGCATGCTGTGCACAGCCGCACACATCACACACATGCACACACCCCATCACAGGTTCTAGTTCCATCTCCCAAGCGTGATGCTGTAATTTTCACTCAGTTCAGAATGTTGTCACATTTCATGGGTTATTAAGAAGTAGACTGGTTAACTCTGAAACACTGAGGGGTTTCCCCAGCCCTGTTACAACTTCTACTTGAATTCTCTTTAGCCTGTGACGTTTTGTAGTGTCTAGTCCAGTGATGGCGAACCTTTTGAACTCGGCGTGTCAGAATTTTGAAAAACCCTAACTTAACTCTGGTGCTGTCACATATAGAAATTTTTTGATATTTGCAACCATAGTAAAACAAAGATTTATATATATATTTTTTAATTTTTTAATTTTTTTAAATATATTTCTTTATTGGTTTAAGAGAGGAAGGGAAAAGGAGAGATAGAAACATCAATGATGAGAGAGAATCATTGATCGGCTGCCTCCTGCACACCCCTTCCTGGGGATTGAGCCCGCAACGCAGGCATGTGCCCCTGGAACCCCTCAGTCTGCAGGCTGACGCTCTATCCCCTGAGCCAAGCTGGCCAGGGCAAGATTTATATTTTTAGTATTTATTTTATATATTTAAATGCCATTTAACAAAAATCAACCAAAAAAATGAGTTTGCGTGTCACTTCTGACACGTGTGTCACAGGTTCGCCATCACTGGTCTGGTCTAACTTGGCTGTGGTTAGAGGCCCGCGTGTGGCTGCTCTCGCTGAGCATCGCCTTCCTGGGAAGGACGCGTCCGCCGTGGAACATCCTGTGGACATCAGGTAGACCCGCTGGGTGGGGCCGACTTCAGTGCGTGCGCCGTCTGTCCTTCTGGGAGGGTGGGTGCTGGCCCCACTGCCTGGGATCCTGGGATGGCGTCTCTCCTGGCTCCGCTGTGTCTGCTCCGCGAGCCACTCGGCGCACTCCGGCACGTCTCCACAGCGCCCCAAGGCTGGGCTCCTGCCCGGGGGACCCCTCCTTCACTTGCTTCTAATCAGCAGGAGGGATGGGCAGTGCCTTCCCACGCTCTCGCCAGCCCAGCGGACTTGTCTTGGGCTCTCGCCAAACCCATCAGGAGGCCGATGCCGGGACCTCAGCCACAGGCAAACCCGAGAGCTGGGAAGCGGGTTGGGGCTCAGAGAAGAGTTCCTGGGAGCACCGCCCGCTCCCGACGGCAGGGTGGCCAGGCCCAGAACTGGGCGGAGTTCAGGCGGCTGCGCCACGGCTGACCCTCAGGCTCCCTCACCGACCACAGCCCGGCCAGGCTCTGTCCCGAGTGCAGATGGCCCCGCGCTGGCCGCTGCCCCCACCCTTCCACGGCCGCCATGGCGGGCGGCACCCTCCGGCCGGGGGCTGGTTTGTCAGCTGCTCCGCCGGGTTCTCCTCCCTGGTCTTCTCTTGGCGGCTCCAGCGCTCAGTGCTTCCCCCGCTGGCTGCCAGGACAGCAGAGTCTCCTGCTGCCCCGGGTTCTCAGGGGACCTTCTGCAATGGCTGCCAGCAGTTTCCGCTCACCTGAGCGTGGCTTCCGCGGGGAGCACGGGCCAGCAGCTGGCCTTCTGTGTCCATCTGTGCTGCTCAATCCTGCTGGGTCCTGGGCACCTGAGGTTTGGTGCGTCATGACCTTGAGGAAGTTCCCGGCGCCTGGCTGGTCAGAGCTCCGTGACCCCACCCAGGAGGGTGTGGCGGGCGGCGTCCAGCACCTTCTGGGGTCCTCTCCTGCTGGCCCTTGGAGACCGACACGTGGGAGGCGGCCTTCACCGCGCCTGCGCGGCCAGGCCCAGCATCTCCAGGCCTCTCCCTCGCAGCCTCCCTGCCTCCCTGCCCTGCAGGTGCCGCCTTCCGTTCAGTGTCTGCAACGCCGTACTCGGACGCAGTGAACCTCCCGTCAGGCACCTCTAGGCACCTGCCTGTGCCCCTGGGAGCCACACCCCAACCCATCTGTGAGCGCCCTCGGGGACTTGAGGACGGACTCCCCAATCTCTGCGGTCTCGCCTGCTTCTGCACACGCGCTGACCACTGGCTGGCCCTCCTCCGGCCCCCGGCTCACGTACTGCGGACGGGCCCATTGCTCTGAGGACCAAGCGCTGTTCCTGAGTCTGAAGCTGGTCCCACTGCTTTTTAAGTAGCTCTGCACACACGCAAGTCCCCGAGGAAGCAGCTGGGGTCGGGGGTCCCAGTGTCAGGTCACTCCCCACTAACAGCCCTCCTCCCGCTCTGCCCCAATGGTGAGCGGCTGCTCACGGGATCCCACGCAGCTCCGGACCCTCGGCACAGCTGGAATTCAGGAGCAAAACTGGCTCTCAGGCCCGCATGGCTCAGTGGCTGAGCGTCAACCCATGAACCAGGAAGTCACAGCTCTATTCCCGGTCGGGGCACATGCCCAAGTTGTGGGCTCCACCCCTAGTGGGGGCCTGCAGGAGGCAGCCGATGGGTGTTCTCTCACTGACGTTCCTCTCTCTCTCTCTCTCTCCCTCTCCCTCTCTCTCTAAAAAAATCAATAAAAACATTTTTTAAAAAGACTCAGGTCACATGTTGGAAGGATCAGCAGTCCTTTTGCTTGGTGGCCTCGCCCACTTTCCCGCGACACAGGACACAGCTGGTGGCTGGCTCCCTGCATCCAGGTGGCCCCACAGCAGGAGGGCCTTTACCCGCCCCGCCCACTGTCCACAGGCTGTGCCACCATCCAGGGCAGAAGGAAGGGCCTGAACACCTTTCTTTCTTCCAGCATCACCTGCCCAAACAGACCCATGTGCACAGAGCTGGCGGCCAGAGTGCTGCCCGTCACCTCAGACACAGGCTTCAGGGACACACGTGCTACAAGGGCTGGTGCCCGGGAACCGGATAGAGGCACTGCCTGCCACTCAGGGCCGAGGAGGCTGACTCTGACCCTCTGGCTGGGCTCCTGTTGGCACAGCAGGGACACGCCTGGCGGCACGGGCAGCTGGCGCCCCACCCACACTGCCCACCCCTTTCCGAAACCCTTCCAACCTCCAGGGCCCATGGCGACCACACCAGGGACACCGCATCCAGTGTCCGACCGCGGACAGAGTACCTTTTGTGGGACGGCCAAATGCCAGGCGGGCAGCGCTTCATGCTGAACATGTACACGGCGGCCTCGGCGGTGCTGAAGAGCCGGCAGAAGCACAGGAAGGAGCAGACGGCCACGGCCGACGCCGCTCTCCCGTCCTAGGAGAGGGCATAGGCAGCTCCCTGGGGCCCAGCACCACCTCCCGGGGCAGACCGCAGGCCTCCTGGGCAGAGCACGTCCTGAACGTGCAGATACACGTCCACACAGATGGGCGCCTTCGTGACGGCACAGGACGCGGCGTCTCCAACGGGACACGCTTGCCTCACTGCCCCCGTGCACCCCTCCCTGAGCCCTCCTGGTGTCACTCTCGAGTGACTCTGCCCAGCACCAGGACAGCTGTGCCGACCTTCGCGCCCACACTCGGCAGGTGCCGTGTGACGCCACACACCTCAGCCTCTCTGCGCAGTGGGGTAGGGGTCCCCAGCTGCCGTCAGGAGGGACAGAGGTGGGTGCCGGGGCAGCGGCCTCGGGGCGGGGCAGTGGAGAGCCCTAGGGTGCTGCCTTGAGGGGAGACGAGAGAATGCACATGGGGCCACCGCACGCTGCACCTGTGTGGGCAGCTTCCCCAGCAGCAGCTAATGCCCAGGCGGAGGGGAGCCCTGCTGGGCACCCAGACGCTGCCGGGGGCATGCGCCAGCCCAGCACCCCACAGTCCCGGGCTCAGGAAGGGGCAGGCTGCTGGTGCCCCACTCCCCACCCGGGCCACCACCCAGGACACTGCCCCATCTGACGCCCGGGGTTCATGACTGTCCTCCGTCCCCACAGCCCCGGTGCCCTCCTCTAACGCGGCGCACACTCACCGTGCAGTGCAGCACACACACGTTCTTGTGGTCCTGCCGCAGCCACCAGTGCATGTCCCTGCAGATGCTGTACAGGCTGCGCAGGCTCGGGGCGCGCCGGGCCGCCCACCCGCACTCGGACACCTGCAGGACGGGCCCAGCTCAGCCTGACACCCTGCACCCCCGTTGGGGGGCTCCCCTCACGAGCGCCCGCCCGCTGGCACACTCCTCTACGACAGGATTTGTGCCAGGCAGACAGACCTGGTGATGGGAACCAGGGATAGCCTCCCGCCACGCTGGGGTCAGCCGTAAAAAGCACCTGTGACCCAGGGTTCAGGGACCATGAAAACCACGGGGCCTCAGGTTCCCCACAGGTGAGGAGCAGCAAGGCCCGAGGCTCGCGGGTCTCTGCACCACCCACCCGACTCTCTTCGGTGTCCGTGAGGTGCCCCCAGGCTGTCACCACACCCCTGAAGACCAGCCCTGGCATCACAGCGAGACCCTGCAGAGCCCGCTGCACGCGCTGCGCTGCCTGTGGGGTCAGCAGGCCCGTGAGGCCCGCAGTGCGCAGGCAGGGGAGGCGGGGGCACTCACGCGGTTGTGGAACTTGGCGGGCCGGTACGTCCTGGAGGACAGGTTGTAGACCGCATAGTGTCCCGGGTGCTTGGAGTCCAGAAACAAGCGCACGTCCTCGATGTTGTTTTTGATGGCCGATTCCACACCCTCTGCCGGGAAGGACATCACTGGAAGGAAATAGCCAGTCAGCCCGGGCACCGCGGGGCTGCGCTCAGGCCCGTCCCGCCTCCCGGCTGGTGCCGTCAGACGCAGTGCTGAGGCGCAGCCCGCCTGCCGTCCACAGGAGCCCCTCGGAACCTCCCCACGGTGCACCGGGGCAGGAGGTCCTGCCGAGACCCCACGCACAGCAGGGTCTCCAAGCGTCCGATCTCGTCTTTGGTTTTGATTTGGCCTGGAGACCCACGTTTCAACTGTGCGTGACCTCGCTCACTCCTCCACCGCAGAGCCCAGAAAGTCCACCCAGGGAGCAGCTGCTGCACACGCACTGTCCCCTGTGGGCCCGGAGGTGCCCTGACACCAGACCCTTCACGCCCAGGCTGCAGCGGGCTGCGTGGGAGGCCCGCGCCCCCTGCCGTCGCCGACAGGAGGCCAGAGGAGCCCCGGGGCGAGAGCGGCAACGCACCTGCGATTCGGGAGGTGATGTAGGAAATGTCCAGGTCTCCCTTCGCATAACTGGAACCCGAAAGAACACTTGGTTAGGACGGGGACTTCCAGGGCAACGACGACAGCTGAGAGCGAGAGTCCGGAGCGGCCCGGGTGAGCCTGTGTGTGTGCTCACGTGGATGGATGTGGGTGACTGCGTGTGAGCACAGGCATGTGTGTGAGAGGCGGGGGGAGGCAGGGCCCACACAGGCCGTGACTCAGGGCTTGCTCCCCTGGGAGGTGCGACGGGGAGCTGGCCGTGACAAGAGGCAGCAAACATGGACGACCGAGCCTCTGACCCACCAAGGAAAGCCACGGAGCACCCCAAAAGGCAAAGGCCCAGTCTGAAGGGACACAGCCAGCATCAGCATCAGTCCTGGGGGGATGCTGGCATGACGGCCAGGAGCCTAAAGCAACGGTGACCACTGAGCTAATGGACAAAGCAGACAGCAAGGACAGAGACAGTGTGGGCGGAGGGGAAGCCCCAGGAAGAGCCGCCTGCCCCAGGAGGGAGCGCAAGACAGCGCTGCGGAGCACAAGGACGGCGCTGGGCTCCCGGCCGGGCACGGCTGAGGAAGCGTCTCTGAGCCACAGGACCCTCCACGTCAGAAAAGGCAGGGGAACAAAGACTGCAAACGCCAGACGGGGCACCCAGGCTGTGGGGCAACCACAGAAGGCCTGACGCTCCCAGCAGGGGGACACGGAGAAGGAACAGAAATATTTGAGACAATAACGACGGAGAATTTCCCCAAATTCATGCCAGACACCAAACCACGAATCCAGGAAACTCGGAGCACCCCCACCGTGATAGACGCCAGGAAACGTGCCTGGGCACAGGGCACTACCGGCAGAAATCAGAGGCGGAGAGGCCCCGAGAGAAGCCAGTGGGCACACACCTCATCTACTGAACAGGACAAGCACACAGACCTCTTTCTCCTCAGAATCCGCCTGCGCAAGGAGAGTGGAGAAACGAGAGCTGGAAGGAAAGCACACCAGCACAGCTCTGTGCCTGGGAAACCACCCTCCAAACATTAACACTTTTTTCTCAAAAACTGAAGAAGCTTGTTGCCGGCAGTCCTGTTTTGCAAGAAATGTTGCTAAGTTTTCTAGAGACAAAGGAAATCATATGGGCCAGGAGCTCAGAGCCACATGAAGAACAGAAGAGCATCAAGAAGGAGTAGGTGAAGGTATCTGTTTTTGTTAATCTTAACTATCTTATAAGTGAGTCTGTTCAAAATATTAGTGGCAACAGAGTGTGTGCTCAGCACTCACTGTGTGCGTGTATGTGCATGTGTGTGCATTCGTGTGCGCGTATGTGCGTGGACCGTGTGCTTCCATGTCAACGACGAATGCCATGACGACGGGGGAGGGGTCACTGGCATTGAGCCTCCGAACCCCACGGCCGCAGTGCTGCTGGGGGGACTGCGTTAGCGCTGAGTGCACGCCGCCCCCCACAGAGCAACCACTAGAAGGTAAACAAGTGTAACACATGCCAAGAAGGGCGAGCGTGGAACCAAATAAAATACTCAGTTCAAACCACAAATGGCAGAAGAAGAGTGAAGATAAAGACCGGGACAAAGAACAGAGCGTTGAGGGGGAAGCGGCAACAGATGGGGCAGATGCTGGCCCGCCGCACCACCCATCTCTGAGCCGGCGGTCTCCATGCCCAGTGACAGGCAGAGACCCTGCACCAACCATCTCCAAGCACCACAGTCTCCACGCCCAGTGACAGGCAGAGACCCTGCACCAACCATCTCTGAGCACCGCGGTCTCCACGCCCGGTGACAGGCAGAGACCCCGCACCAACCATCTCCAAGCACCACGGTCTCCACGCCCAGTGACAGGCAGAGACCGTGCAACCATCTCCAAGCACCACGGTCTCCACGCCCAGTGACAGGCAGAGACCCAGCACCAATCATCTCCAAGCACCACGGTCTCCACGCCCAGTGACAGGCAGAGACCCTGCACCAACCATCTCCAAGCACCACGGTCTCCACGCCTGGTGACAGGCAGAGACCCCGCACCAATCATCTCCATGCACCTCGGTCTCCACGCCCAGTGACAGGCAGAGACCCCGCACCAACCATCTCCAAGCACCACGGTCTCCACGCCCAGTGACAGGCAGAGACCCCGCACCAATCATCTCCAAGCACCACGGTCTCCACGCCCAGTGACAGGCAGAGACCCCGCACCAACCATCTCCAAGCACCACGGTCTCCACGCCCAGTGACAGGCAGAGACCCTGCAACCATCTCCAAGCACCACGGTCTCCACGCCCAGTGACAGGCAGAGACCCCGCACCAATCATCTCCAAGCACCACGGTCTCCACGCCCAGTGACAGGCAGAGACCCCGCACCAACCATCTCCAAGCACCACGGTCTCCACGCCAAGTGACAGGCAGAGACCCTGCACCAACCATCTCCAAGCACCACGGTCTCCACGCCTGGTGACAGGCAAAGACCCTGCACCAACCATCTCCAAGCACCACGGTCTCCACGCCCAGTGACAGGCAGAGACCCTGCAACCATCTCCAAGCACCACGGTCTCCACGCCTGGTGACAGGCAGAGACCCTGCAACCATCTCCAAGCACCACGGTCTCCACGCCTGGTGACAGGCAGAGACCCTGCAACCATCTCCAAGCACCACGGTCTCCACGCCTGGTGACAGGCAGAGACCCTGCAACCATCTCCAAGCACCACGGTCTCCACGCCTGGTGACAGGCAGAGACCCCGCACCAACCATCTCCAAGCACCACGGTCTCCACGCCTGGTGACAGGCAAAGACCCCGCACCAACCATCTGCGAGCAACAGTGGTCATCAGCACAGCAACAGCGCGGACGCCTTCTCGAGGTTACTCAGCATGCCTGGGTAACTCCTCTGTACTCCGTATAGTTTGAACATATAGTCTTTTTGTTATTTTAAGGAAATGTGGTAATTTGAGGAATAGAGAATTTTTAAGTTAGTGAAATTTATTAATCATTTCCTTCATCACTTGTGTATTTTTTAAAAAATATATTTTATTGATTTTTTACAGAGAGGAAGGGAGAGGGAGAGAGAGTCAGAAACATCGATGAGAGAGAAACATCGATCAGCTACCTCCTGCACACCCCCCACTGGGGATGTGCCCGCAACCAAGGTGCATGCCCTTGGCCGGAATCGAACCTTGGACCCTTGAGTCCACAGGCTGATGCTCTATCCACTGAGCCAAACAGGTTAGGGCGGCTTGTGTATTTTTTGTCTCATTTAGGAAACCTTTGAGTGTTATAAAAAAAACCCTCTATAGTTTATTAATTTTTCCTTAAAAAACACATGCTTCTTAGAATTAATCGCTTAACTCGCCAGAATAATGTATTCGCTGCTGCTGGACAGGGATCCGACTTCCGCTCAGCAGGCGGGGCTGGCACCTGCACTGACGAGGCCGGGGCTTCCTGGCAGATGGTGTTCCGTGGGTTCCCAGGCCTCAGAGCGCCATCTGTCAGTCTCAGCACTCAACTCACCACACTGACGCCCAAGAAAGCTCACGCGTGTAACAGGGATCATCCTCTATTATTCTCATTTTTTAAAATGCTCCTGGCAGTAACGGGTAACATGAATTTTAAGATCAAAATCTATGAAAACAGCCTGGCCAGTGCGGCTCAGCGGTTGAGTGTCAACCTATGAGCCAGGAGGTCACAGTTTGATTCCGGTCAGGGCACATGTCCGGTTGTGCACTTGATCCCCAGTGTGGGGCGTGCAGGAGGCATCAGATCCATGATTCTCTCTCATCATTGATGTTTCTCTCTCTCCCTCTCCCTTCCTCTCTGAAGTCAATAAAAATACATTCTTTTTTTTTTAAATGTATTTTATTGATTTTTTACAGAGAGGAAGGGAGAGGGAGAGAGAGTTAGAAACATCGATCAGCTGCCTCCTGCACGCCCCCCACTGGGGATGTGTCCGAAACCACGGTACATGCCCTTGACTGGAATCGAACCTGGGACCCTGAGTCCGCAGGTCCATGCTCCATCCGCTGAGCCACACCGGCCAGGGCTAAAAATATATTCTTAAAAATCTATGAGAACAGTTTTTATGACAGTGAATCTGTAGCCCGACTGAAAAGTGACGCCATCTTTAAGACCCTCCCAGACGTAAGTCTCTCCACTTGCTCAGGTCTGATGTCACGGCTCTCACTGGGCCCAGCCAGGCAGGGCAGGCTGAGCAGGGAGGTGGCCCCCTGGCTTCAGGGGCACCTGGGGGGGAGGGAGGGCGCCCGCAGGCCTGGGGAGGCGCCCCTGCTGGAGCCCAGCGTCAGCACCACTGAGGCCATTCCCTAGTCTGATCGTCAAACGAGTAACACACGGAGCTAGGGAAGCACGCAGGCAGCCTGACAAGTTTGCTCTAGAATTCCTCTGCAGACACAGCTGAGCAGGAACGTGACTCTCCTGGGAAGGACGGACGGACAGAGAGGCTCGCACCACACACAGCAGCAGCAGCAGCAGCCGCGCTGAGGGCTGCAGGGATGTCAGGTGCAACGGGAGGGGGAAGCTCAGGGGCCGGGGGGAGGGGGGGCTGGGTCATGGACGGGGACAGTGCCCTGCTTGCCATCAGCAGACGAGAACCAATGAAAAGTCCCCAATAAGGTCCCCGTAGATTAAAGACCTGAATGTGCAAGGAAACCATTAAAAATGCATTTAGTTTAAACATTCTGAAACATGTATTTCAAAACACACCTAACCTTCCTACTCAGGAAAACAAACAAAAGACATACAGGGAAGTATGGATAGATCTGTGCTTTACTTAAAACCAAAAAGAAAAAGACAAGTAACTGACAAGGAAAAACTGCTATTCTGCCTTTTCACAAAGTGAAATATAAAAATCTAAGCCCACGGCTGAGTCTGAGTGCTCTCACATCTACGCTGGCAAGGCACCGTGCCCGCTGCACACGCACTCCACAGCCCAGGCCGGAGGTGGTGCCCCTCAGCTCCAGGGCTCCTGTGTGGCCGGCGGCGGGCCAGCACTTCTCCGCTACTCCCAAGTCCCTCACAGCGGGGCCCACCCGATGGCCACGAGTGCAGGTGCTGCCAGGCTGGGAGGCGGGCGGCGCCAAAGGTCAGAAACCCCACCCCCACCCCACCCCACCCCCACCCCCCGCTATGGAGAAGCCACGAGCCACGCCCGGCCCTGCACCCACGCACCCTTGACTCACTTGGCGACGGACTGGATGACCTTGGAGGAGGTGTCCTTGAGGTTGGTGAGCAGGCGCCCGGGGCCACCCCGCAGGATGTCCAGGAGCCCGCCGTAGGACTGCTCATACTCAGCCACCGCCAGGCCTGCAAGCAGAGACTAGCTCAGGCCGGGGGGATAGGGCCGGGAGCCCCAGCATCCCCAGAACCTGAGGGCCGCACTCCCCGTCACCCCACCGTCTGCACCCCACGTGGGCACAGGAACTAAACCAGCAGCTGGCATCTCAGCATGCCCTGCGCCCAGAGCCCACCAGCTGCTCTCACAAGGGCCGAGCCTGAACCCGGCCGGCGAGAGTCGAGCCTCCGGGTGCCCACGGCCTCCATCCCGTCTCTAGATTGTGCACCCATTCACTCCTGCAACCTGGACTCCGGGCCCCCTGCACACACATACACTGAGGGCCCAGCAAAAGCGAGCCTCCACCCCTGGTGGGAGGACACAGTGGACACGGAGGGCAAGGAGTGGGGTCGTGCATGTGGCCCCGGCCGAGCACAGAGAGGCCGTGGGGCTGGACAGCAGGCGCTGCTATCTGCCTGCAGCATAGGACCCGGGTGTGAACAGAGTGATGGCAAAGGGAGGCAGGCCCTGAAACCCTAGCACCCCGGAGGATGTGGTCCCCAAAGGCGGCTTGGTGGGGGGGGGGGGGGGGGTAGGTCGGGATAAAAAGAGGAAGTCGTGCCCGCGTGCTGCATCTGTGCCCAAGGGTGTCTGTGGCCTCTGTGCAGCTTCTGAGACCAGTCAGCAGCACTGGCACAGGTGGCTGGGGTGCAGCTGGGACCAGGCCCTGCGCTCCCGCTGTCAGGCAGCCACAGAAAGCAGCCCACACGTCTTACGTGCAGAGCGTTCTTGCTAGCCATTCACCAGGAAATGACCAGCACTCGTGTGTGTGGAGCATGTGTGGGCACGACCGTGGTGTAAGCATGTACGAGCACATGCGTGCACGTGTGTGGTGTGGTCCTGGAGAAGACCCAGGGCAGTCCGGGCGGCCCCACATGCTGGACATCCAGAGAGGCAACCAGGACCCACACTGTGCGGACATGGAGCCCAGGACCCAGGGCCAGCCAGCTGCTGGGAGGCCCCTCCCCAGGAAACAAACCTGATTTCACCCCAAACAGCGAGAGTGGCCAAGGGGATGGGGCAGAGCACAGCCTGGCAGGGCCGTCCAGAGCTTTCCCGGACCTGCTGCGCCGAGCCCAGCTGCAGGCTCCTCGGGGACCAGCTCCGCGTGCCAGCACGGGGCGCCCAGACCACCCACAACCACAAGATGAGGGTGCAGCTCACTCACCAAATGCAACTGAGCCAGGAGAAAACCCACTGAACCCTTTGCCACGGCCACAACCCTCTCCCCTGCCCAAGGAGCCTGCCTCTCCCGGGACTCGGGCCTGCGCCCGACCCTGCGGGCCACCCCAAAGGCCCGCACGCCAGGCACCAGGTACTCAGAGCCCCCGCAGCATAGGACAGGGCGCGAGCACACACACCGCCCCCCGAATTCTATCCTAAACATGGCCTAGAGCAGCCGCGGGCAAACTACGGCCCGCGGGCCGGACCCGGCCCGTTTGAAATGAATAAAACCAAAAAAAAAAAAAGACCGCACCCTTTTATGTAATGGTGTTTACTTTGAATTTATATTAGTTCACACAAACACTCCATCCACGCTTTTGTTCCGGCCCTCCGGTCCAGTTTAAGAACCCATTGTGGCCCTCGAGTCAAAAAGTTTGCCCACCCCTGGCCTAAAGTGTCGCCTCCGTCCGTCCTGGAGCTCTAGGCAGTTACCTCTAGGCCCTGTTGCCGAGGGCCAGTCCTGGGAGCTCTAGGCAGTTAGGGGACCCAAACAAGCAGCCTCTTGCACGTAGCCAGGCCGACCGCCCAAGGCAGGGTGTGGGCCGGCGCTCCGCACGTGTGCACTCACCTCCGCCTTGGCCGCTGCTCACAGGCCCCCCGGGAGGAGGTGGCCCTCGGGACGGGGCAGCATTCCCGTAGCCTCCATTCTGCTCCAGGAGCTGCAAGGGTTCGAACAGCAAGGCCTCAGTTTGTACAGGGCCGGCTCTGCGCAGGGAGAAACCCTCCTTCCTGGCTGCAGCCCCTCCACCTGGCCCTGGAGAACCCTACACCAAGGGCGGCTCACACAGCGCTGGGAGCGGATGCTCGGGTCACGGGCAGCCTGCTGCTCCCACACGCCCACCGCAGCCAGTCTCTCGCCCAGTGGCTCGCAGCCTGCCTGCCAGAGGGTGGCTGTGCAGCAAGGGCCCTGCCTGCCACAAGTTGAGCCCACGGCCGGCGCCGGCCAGAGTCACAACCCCCAACCTTCAGAGAGGTGCTGGGGGCCCGGCTGGGGAGGGCTGCAGCTTCCCGCCAGCCCACTCGGCGCCAGACGCGACCCTGCATGGCCGACGGCCGTGGTGCCTGCTCCTCTCCTGTGCGTTCCTTAGTCTCTGGTGCACTCTTGTGACCATCCTTGTTCTGGAGCTCAGCTTTCTCGACATGAAGCTCACGAGTAAAACGAAGGTGCCGTTGCCTTTCTCTGGCCCAGCAGGTGGTGGGCATTCAGGACACGCTGTTTCCCAGGCGACATGGCGGTAGGACAGCCAGGCTTTCTCCCGCCCTGTCTCTCCGGCAGGTTTCAGGCTGCCAGGCAGGCACGCCTTCCGCTGGGACCACACACGCCAGGCCCCTCAGTCGGAGGTCCTGTTGCAGAGGGCACGCAGACACCGCTGCTCTTGCCTGCGTGAGGCCGGCCAGTCCTCCATCAGCTGCTCCTGGGCTCCAGGCCCAGGCCCCAGGCACGGTCCTCACTGCCTGGGCAGAAGCCCCCGCAGGGGGTAGTGTCTGCACCAGGGTCCCGAGTTCTGAAAGCGCCAAGACCGAAAGGTGCTCTGGCACCACTGACCAGCAGCCTGTGTCTGTCCGTCGGCACCCCCACCGCGCCCCAGAGAACTCCTGGTGGCACACACATGGCAGCCCCAGAGCAGACGCCTCGAGCCTTGATCACCCCCCATGCCCCCACTGCCCACCCTCCCCGCGCTGGCCACTGTCTGACAGGGTCGTCTTCCTTCCAGTTCCTGCCCACATTCAGAGCTGTCTGCCTGGGCTGACTCCTTCCTGCCAGGTGACCCCGCCCTGGGATTGCTGGGGCATGGGGACTCGGCCTGCACAATGGTCACCCCTTTAACACAGACGGGGCCTCTAAGACCCTGCTCCGAGCAGCACCTGGAAGGTCCTACCTCAGTGATGGGCGACTTGGGGTTCACACTCCGGGCAGCCGCGATCTCCTGCAGCTGGTTCACCAGCTCGGTGATGGACAGCCGCTCCTCCGGGTTGACCTTCAGTGTGGCGCCTGCAGCAGGAAGGGCGAGCTCAGGGCCCCACCCCTGCCCTTGTGGAGGCGGCAGACCCACAGAGGGCCTCACTTACGGACTTTAAAAGCGAGGGCACAGCATGAAGGGTAACAACAGAACGGAGCAAAATGATCAAAAGCCACCGTTTGGAGCACGTAACTCACACGGCTGACTGATGGAAAAAGCCCACAGGGAGGCTGCCAAAGGGCCACGTGGGACGTTAAGGAGGCGTGTCCTCCGTGGTCCCTGCGCACGGCACTTACGGATGAGGCCGTGGAACACAGAGTACCGACTGTCGTCAGCAGGGATGGAGTATTTCCCGTTCACGATGCGAAGCTTTGCTCCGTCTTCAAAAGGGTGCTGCCCGAAGCACAGCAGGTACAAGATGCAGCCCAGCGCCTGCGGGGGCGGGAGGGGGAGGGTGAGGGGGGCGGAGGGGGCGAGGCGGCCCATCTTTGGGTCTACAGGGGAGTCAGGCTCAGGCTGGTCTGACTTATGCCAGTGAGCAGTAGGACAGCTCCCCACGCACACAGCTCTCCTCCTCCCCACAGCTCCCCCCATGCACGGAGCCCACAGGGGGCACAGAGCACACAGGGAGCACAGAGCACACAGGGGGCACAGAGCACACAGGAAGCACAGAGCACACAGGGGGCACAGAGCACACAGGGGGCACAGAGCACAGGGGGCACAGAGCACACAGGGGGCACAGAGCACAGGGGGCACAAAGCACACAGGGGGCACAGAGCACACAGGGGGCACAGAGCACACAGGGAGCACAGAGCACACAGGGAGCACAGAGCACAGGGGGCACAGAGCACACAGGGAGCACAGAGCACACAGGGGGCACAGAGCACACAGGGGGCACAGAGCACACAGGGGGCACAGAGCACAGGGAGCACAGAGCACACAGGGGGCACAGAGCACAGGGGGCACAGAGCACACAGGGGGCACAGAGCACAGGGGGCACAGAGCACAGGGGGCACAGAGCACACAGGGGGCACAGAGCACAGGGGGCACAAAGCACACAGGGGGCACAAAGCACACAGGGGGCACAGAGCACACAGGGAGCACAGAGCACACAGGGAGCACAGAGCACAGGGGGCACAGAGCACACAGGGGGCACAGAGCACACAGCGGGCACAGAGCACAGGGGGCACAGAGCACACAGGGAGCACAGAGCACACAGGGAGCACAGAGCACAGGGGGCACAGAGCACACAGGGAGCACAGAGCACAGGGGGCACAGAGCACACAGGGGGCACAGAGCACAGGGGGCACAGAGCACAGGGGGCACAAAGCACACAGGGGGCACAGAGCACACAGGGAGCACAGAGCACACAGGGGACACAGAGCACACAGGGGGCACAGAGCACAGGGGGCACAGAGCACACAGGAAGCACAGAGCACACAGGGGGCACAGAGCACACAGGGAGCACAGAGCACACAGGGGGCACAGAGCACAGGGGGCACAGAGCACAGGGGGCACAGAGCACACAGGGAGCACAGAGCACACAGGGGGCACAGAGCACAGGGGGCACAGAGCACACAGGGGCACAGAGCACACAGGGAGCACAGAGCACACAGGGGGCACAGAGCACAGGGGGCACAGAGCACACAGGGGGCACAGAGCACAGGGGGCACAGAGCACACAGGGAGCAGAGAGCACACAGGGGCACAGAGCACACAGGGGGCACAGAGCACACAGGGGGCACAGAGCACACAGGGGGCACAGAGCACAGGGGGCACAGAGCACACAGGGGGCACAGAGCACAGGGGGCACAGAGCACACAGGGGGCACAGAGCACACAGGGAGCACAGAGCACACAGGGGGCACAGAGCACAGGGGGCACAGAGCACACAGGGGGCACAGAGCACAGGGGGCACAGAGCACAGGGGGCACAGAGCACACAGAGGGCACAGCCCACAGGGGGCACAGAGCACACAGGGGGCACAGAGCACACAGGGGGCACAGAGCACAGGCACTGCGGCCTCACCCAGATGTCCTGCTTCTCGCCGATGGGGAAGTTCGAGTACAGGTCCACGATCTCGGGCGTCCTGTACATGGGCGTTGTGTTCCTGGTGACCTGAAGAACAGATGCACTTTTTACAGGGAAGTTGTTTGGTGTCGGCGCCCACGGCCTCCCTGCAGGAAGCGCACATCCACCCCAGGGTCCAGAAAGCCTCGCCTGGCTGCTCGCCTCCCTTCCCTCCCCCGCCCCCGCCGGCCCCTGCCTCACAGCCCAGCTCTTGCTGGAGTGGCCACACCAGGCACACACGGTGGAATGTCAGCTGTGTGTCCAGGAGACACGTCTCAGCGGACAGGCACTCCCTTCCAGAGCGGATGGGCACACCCTTCCAGGTCCGGGAGGTGGGTCACCTGCGGCCCGAGGGGAAGGCTGCTCTCAAAGCCGCCTCCTACGCATCCTCGTGGACAGAGACCCTTTGTCCCCGGAGAGAGCTGAACTGAATTTACGGATGAGTCAGGCTTTTATGTGAGAAACCCAAGACCCAGGTAGACAGGGTGGGCCCTGTGGCAGAGACTGGAGACACTGCATGGGGGAGGCCAGCGTGCCCGTGCACGGCAGACACACACACACCAACCGCGGCCAGAGATGCTGCCCCCAGCGAGACAGTGAGGCTAACCCACGGTTCTCCTGGGAAGGTCTGCTTCAGGAGGAGGCCTGAGCGGGACCAGCGCCCAGGAGACACCCAGGGCCAACACATGCCAAGTCCAGGCACATAAAGGATGCTGAGCCGGGAGGGAGGCGGGCAGAGGGCACTGCGACTGGACGTGGCCGCAGAGCCTCCACACAGGAAGTCACCAAGCTACAGGCCCATGACCCACGTGTGTACACGTGTTCCCTGCACTAGACGGCGTGCTATGCAGCCGTGTGAGGCACTGACCCCCAGCCCAATGCGACGCTCCTACAGCACGCACAATGCTGAGCGCCCTCACCTCCTCCTCCACCAGGGCCCGCCGCTGGGCACTCCAGCTGTAGTCAGGGGCGTGCGAGACGGTCGTGGCGCTGCCAAAGTCACACAGCTTAATGGTCCCCTGGTGACTCAGCAACAAGTTTTCAACCTGAAAAATTCCAGGAGACAGCCCTTATAGATCTGGGGTGCAGACAGCCAGCTGGCCCTGAGGGGAAAACGCAGCGTCCCCACTTCTTTTTGGTCAAAATCAGTGTGTGTACCTTTAGAAGCAGGTAATTTGGATAAACTCAGCCGTAAGTCAAAAGATAAATGACATTAATACCATGGAATAAACAACGAAAGCCTTTAGAAAAGACTGAATTAACACACTGTCTAAAAACCATCCTATATAATAAAAGCCCAGCGCCCGACCGGCAGAACGACCAGAACGACCGGTCAACCAGTTGCTATAACATGCAATGACCACCAGTGGGCAGATGCTCAAGCAGGAGCAGCTCCCTGGTGGTCAGTGCGCTGCCACAGTGGGAGCGCCGCTCAGATGACCGGGATGAGCGGCTGTTCCCGCTGCAAACCCTGAGCAGACGGGCAGGAACCCAGGCTGCGATCATCGCCTCCTCACCCCAGGCTCCTCCTCTGAGCGCTCACAGGCTGGGCTAAGCCACCTCTGCCAGGCTCACAGAACGCTGGAGGCTGGGAGGGGGGTGTGTGGCTGCCGTGGGACTGAGGCCTACTCCACCGCCTTCAGTGCTATTGTCCCTGGGCCTGGCCCCGACCAGGTCTCCTGGAAAGGCAAGTGCTCTGGCTCCACGGAAGATGCCGGACCAGGGAGCAGCCACTCAGAGGGTGGGTCCACAGCTGCTCGGCTAACCAGAATGAGTGGCGTTCCCACAGCGGGTTGATCCCTGCAGGCCATGCCCCCATCAGAGCACGAATCCCATGCACCAGGCCTCTAGTCCTATATGATAGCCTATATAATAAAAGCCTAACATGCCAATTGTCCCCTTGACTGGGAGTTTGACCACTCGCTATGACATGCACTGACCACAAGGCGCAGAACATGGTGGGCGTCAGTGATGCAGCGCTGGCAGTGGGCGACAGTGGAGGCGCTGCTGGCCCCAATGAAAGCAGGACCACAGTGGGATGGTGGAGCAGGTGAGCAGGCAGCGCCAGGCCAAGGTGGGTGCAAGCAGGGCCCGATGACTCAGTCAGAGGGGGGCGCATGGGGATCCAGTGGCCCAGGTGCTGCCCAGGGCCCAGAGGTCAGCTGGGACCTGCCCTTTCACGCCAGACACTCATGCTTCGATCACTGGCCAGGTCGAGGGACCGCACCCATGCACGATTTCGTGCACCAGGCCACTAGGCAAATAGATCAAGAAGCTGTCAAGGAGTCCAGCCAGAAACTGTCACTTGAGATGCACTTTTTTTTAAAAAAATATATTTTATTGATTTTTTTACAGAGAGGAAGGGAGAGAGATAGTCAGAAACATCGATGAGAGAGAAACATCGATCAGCTGCCTCCTGCACATCTCCCACTGGGGAGGTGCCCGCAACCCAGGCACATGCCCTTGACCGGAATCGAACCTAGGACCTTTCGGTCCGCAGGCCGATGCTCTATCCACCGAGCCAAACCGGTTTCGGCATTGAGATGCACTTTTAAAATCCAACGTAAACAGGACTAACAGCAGAGACAGACCTGTCCCAGCCCCTCGAGGGCATGTCCTGGCCAAGGCCCATCGCTAAGGACGGATTTTACAATCTGAGTGCTGGGAAAAGTAAACAATTCTTCACCACCCAGGGCCGCAGGGGCCGCGGGACCCGCAGAGCAGGCATGTTTACAGTCGGCCCTTCCCAGAGAAGCCTGTCGACCTGCTCGGGGACGGCCAAAGCAATCCCATGGGTGGAACTGACAAACGGATTAAAACGTGTGTAAGGAGACACAGCCGAGAAGAGCCACCCGATCCCGAGGCAGAGGGGAGCCTGGCTGTAGCTCCGAGCGCAGGGAGCCGACCAGGGCACCGACCGGGACCTGTCCCGGGACAGCGGGGCAGGCAAGGGAAGAGAGGCCCTGCCTCTAAACGCAAGGGCAGCCACAGGCCTCAGGTCAACGCTCAGGAAGGAGCACGCTGAGCCGGGCAGCTGACCAGCCACTGTGAGCAGCACCTGAGCAGACACCACCCGCTGGGAACAAGCACACCAAACCCCACACGTTCCCACACACGGCTTCTGCGGATGAGACAGAAACACAGCTCAGCAAGAACACAGGCAAATACTGCTCCAGGGACGTCCTCAGAGAGGAAATCCAACGCCAATAAACCTAAAAACGGTCAACTCTGTCCACAGAAGGAAATGCCACGGGAGCCACACGGTCTGCTGCCAACACCAAGAGCCCCAAGCGCCAGGCTCCGAGGCCACACGCCCGGGAAGCAGCGACCCCACAGCGCACACTCTGCCAACTGTGGGCCCGAGATGGACGAGCCCCAAAACCACAGCGCTGAGCAAAACGCCACTTGGAGGACGCACTCCGGAGCCACGCGCAGCAGACAGAGTCACCACACGGGGCCCGGACTCCATGGACAGGCCACGGGGACCCCTGGCACACACGGGGCACTGGGGTGAGGGAGTAAACCAGGCATGCCCGCAGACACGGCTGATTTCATTCCTCCTTTTCACACACACAAGCACACGGCTAACACGTAAGCAGAACAGTCCTGAAGGCACCGGAAACCCCGGCTGAGAAAGGCCTCCAACCCCTAGCACAGCCGTGGGCAAACGACGGCCCATGGGCCGGATGCGGCCCGTTTGAAATGAATAAAACTAAAAAAAAAAAAAGACCGTACCCTTTTATGTAATGATGTTTACTTTGAATTTATATTAGTTCACACAAACACTCCATCCATGCTTTTGTTCCGGCCCTCCGGTCCAGTTTAAGAACCCATTGTGGCCCTCGAGTCAAAAAGTTTGCCCACCCCTGCCCTAGCACCACCACCGCCCGGCGTCCTCCCAACCTCACGGGTGGTGCCTGCCAACAGCTTAACATGACCTCTCGGTTCGGGGGGAGAGAGAAGGCCAGGCTCCTCAGAGGTTCAAATCGAGACGAAGACAAAGACCCACAGATGGGGTGTCAGTGCCGACCCCCAGGGGGGTTCAGAGAGCACATCGGGGGAGCACCAGGGAACAGGCTGCAGACAGGGTGTGAAGGACATGAGCAGCGATTTCCCACCTTCCCACCTTGCGACACGTTAACTACTGAGATTCTGCAGCGCACCAAAAGTGCACTTTGCTGACCTGACCAAAAATGGGTAATTCTGATTCATTCACACTGGACACCTACTGTGCTGCTGGTGCCGTCTTCTCTGTGGGAAGCTAAGGGACACGAGGTTGGCGCCCCGACGGGACAGCCAATCCTCGCAGCGCCCGGGAACACCTCTGCACCAGGGAGTGTCTGGGTGCTGCTGCGGCAGGGATGGTGCAGCTGCTAAGAAAACTCCCCTGTTCTCCCACAGTGGACAGTGTCCAGGCGTGAAGTGGAGTGATGTCTGGGTTCCGGCTATAAAATCCTTCAGGAAAACCCACCTTCACCAGGAAGCAAGATGAGGGGCGGCTGCCGCCCAAGATGTGGCCAGAGGCGGGCACAGCGCTGGGTGCTGGACAATTTCCACCAAGTCTTGGGTTTTTCAAAGACACAAGACGGGGAATAAAAACCAGGCCAGGCCGGCTGGCGTGGCTCAGTGGCTGAGCATCACCCTAGGAACCAGGAGGTCATGGTTCGGTCCAATTCCCCGTCAGGGCACGTGTCCGGGTTGCAGGCTCCATCCCCAGTAGGGGCCCTGCAGGAGGCAGCCGATCCATGATTCTCTCTCATTGATGTTTCTCTCTCTCCTTCCCTCCCTTCCTAAAGTCAATAAAAATGTTTTTAAAAAACACACCAGATCATAAACCAGAAAATACCTGCAGCACATATAACTCAAAAAAAGACCGTTGTATGAACATACACGGAGCTCCAGTCAATCAACATGACAGACCAAAAGCAGAAAAGGGCCAGAAAACAGAAGCTACTGAAGAGGAAGACACGAACGACCCGGACAGCAAAAAGCACTTAACTTCACTAATAACCAGGAAAAGCAGTCACTGCACTCACCCTCCCCCCCGGGAAAGGCAGCCGGCAGCTCCGCACACCTCAGCCCACGGCACAGCCGGCTGGAGCCCACACCTGCACGTGAGGACGCACTCAGCACCTTCCAGCAGCTGTGGTCCCTGCATGTAAGGCAGGCGCGGACACCACCCAGGCCGCAGGCCACTGTGGGCCCCGAGGGCACGTCCAGAGGAGGAGGCACTCTCCTCGTCTCGCCAGGGGGAGGACAATGGCCGCAGCCCAGAGCTGGGGGCCCAGGAGCCCAGGCCCCACTTGCAGCTGAGGGACACAGGGTCCTGCAGGAAGCCTGGCCGCGGGACCCTGGGCGTGAGGCCCTCCCTGCTTCACGGAGGCGCTTCGGGGAAACCCGCTCGCTGTGAAGCGGCTCCCAGTGGCCTCTGCGACTCTCGCCAGAGCCTGGCCGGCCTCACTGGCAGAAACCGGACCTCCTAGCCGGGGCGGGGCGTGTGAGTGAGAGGCAGCACCTTGAGGTCCCGGTGGATGATGGGCGGCTTCTGCCGGTGCATGTGCTGCACGGCCCTGCACGTCTGGTAGAAAATCTTCAGGACGGTGTCGCACGACAGTGGCCCTTTGGTCTCGCTTTTCTTCAGAAACTCCACCAGCTGCCCTGGAAGAGACAGGAGACACTCATCCCCACAAGCCGGGGGCGGGGCCGCAGGACAGGGCAGGGGCGGCACCACCTGGCGCTGGCTTTACCAGCCGGCGTGGGACACCCGTGGCCATGGCACGGGCAGCACAGAATCCCACACGGAGCCAGGGGGACGGCAGGGTCCAGAGAAGCCACAACATGCCATCTCCTCGTCTTGCTCCACTTCCCTAAATGACGGCCATCTGCCCGGGGCGTGGCCTCTCCAACACACACTCAACACTAAGTGCAGCCTGCACACGGGACCAGGGGTGGTGACAGCACAGGGAGCCCCATCCTCCCGTCGCCAGGGGCACGTGTTCACATCTCAGTGCCCGTGCTGCCCTGGTCCCCAGCCCGTCCCTGATCCAGGCCCGAGGCCACCTCAGTGACGGAGGCACAGCCAGTGTGGCTACCACGGCTCCAGATCCATGGTGGCCCTCAGCCACGCTGCCCTGCCTCCTGGGGTCAGACACCGTGTGACCCCACCCAGGAAGCCGGCTCTGCCAGCCTGCCACACGGGCACCCACTCCAGCTCGTTTCCCCCAACGCTGGGCGAGTCGCAGAACCCGCGCCTGCACACAACAGTGCCCCAGACACCAGGCTCATCTGGCGAGAGAACCACCTGCCGCAAGGGGCGAGGGCGTGAGGCCCCAGCCTGACAAGGCCCAGCGCAGAGCCACGCAGAAGCCGCCTGAGCTCCCACACGAGGAGCAGGACAGACACCACGGCACTCACAGCCGGAGACAGGGGCCCCGACGGAGACCAGCGTGGCCTCATCCACGCCGCCCAAGGTGTCAGAGCAGGCCACCGAATGGCACCCCCAACCCAACAAGCCCCCTGTGAATGCCAGCCACAGGGAGGCCAGGTCCCGGGAGAGACACGCAGACTCCGTAGACGAGGCAAGGAGCGCGTCCACAGACACTGGCTAAGGGCCTGAGTTCGGATCTGGGCCTTAGAGAGCAGGCGAGCCTGTGGGCGCAACACGGCGCCGAGCACAGCACACTTTTCAGAAGGAAGAGTGTGTCTATAGAACCCCGCTTCGCCATACACCTCACGGCACTTCTCCCACGAGCACACGTCCTCTTCACTAAAACCAGCAGTGACCGTGAGCACCTGCCACCTGGAAGACCTGAGTGTGGGCAGCACCTCCCAGCCAGCCCGGCGAGACAACGGGAAGCAGGGCCCAGACACGGAGAGCACAGCCCTCGCTCTCCCATCCAGCTCCCAGCTCCACTCCCCAGGGTGGGTCCGGCTTCCTTGAGCCTATAAAGCCGTCTGCACCTGTGTCAGCCTGCTGCTCCCCTCCCCATCCCCTAACCCAGTTGTGGGCAAACTACGGCCCGCGGGCTGGATGCGGCCCGTTTGAAATGAATAAAACTAAAAAAAAAAAAAAAAAGACCGTACCCTCTTATGTAATGATGTTTACTTTGAATTTATATTAGTTCACACAAACACTCCATCCATGCTTTTGTTCCGGCCCTCCCCTTCCGGTCCAGTTTAAGAACCCATTGTGGCCCTCGAGTCAAAAAGTTTGCCCACCCCTGCCCTAACCCCACCACCACCCGCTCCAGGGCTGTGCCGGCTGCTAAGGGCTCAGCACCATCTCCTCCTCCTCCTGCAGGTGCCTGCGCCCACTGCCCCCTCTCCTCCGGAACAGCCCCGCTTGTGATGGCTGGGACCTCGGGGAGTGCCATCTGTGGGCGCAGCATGTGTCCCTCCCAGGGAGACACCTGCCTCAGTGTCCCCTGCTGCTGCTCCCTGGCCTTGTGGCGGCAGGGCCCTGGCATCCTCCCACACACGCTGCCCACGGACAATGAGGCAGCACCATGCCCCAGGACCGATGGCCCACCCGGCTGCCACCCTCTGGCCCACTGGGTCTCGCATGTCCTGTGCCCACTCCTTTCCCCCTAAGTTACACCGATGCCAGCTGAGCCCGTACGCTGCAGGAGGGCGGACCCCCGGCCCTCCATGGGCAGCGTGGGCAGACTGAGCCCTACTGCCTCCTCCTCGGTCATGTACATGACCCCCCCTGGAACTCTGCAGAAGGCACTGAGCCCCTCCCACTCCTGTCGGTGACTAAGAGCCTTTCCTGTCCTCCTGGGAAGGGCCTCCCTCCACCGGGACCTGCGTACGCCCGCCGGGAGCTCATTACCTCTGCAGAGCTCTGTGAGCAGCAGGAACTCGGCCTGCCCCGTGTCGGACTCCTCTTTCCCTATTGACGCTGCAGAGCAAAACTGGACAATGTTGGGGTGGCCAGAAAGCTTTTTCTGCGGGTGTCTTGTTAAAGGAGAATGCGTAAGTCTGCACACGGAAACACACATGCGCGGCAGGCAGAAGCTTACAGCTGTGAGCACGAGGACTTACTCGTGTTATTACTTACTTCGTGTATTTCCCACACACCTGTGAACCTACTTTTGCCCTTCCCTGTATAAACCATGACGCTGAAGGACATGATCTTAGACCTCAGCGCATCAGAGCGGAAAGGTGAGGGCGAGCAGAGGGGCAGGGCGGGGGGAGGGGAGAGAAGTGTGGATGGAACCACACACACCTGACCACAGCCAGGCAGGCCAGCGGGAGAGGGCGCGGCATGAGGCTGTCCACCCGAAACTCAGGGAGGCGAGCACCCCCGGGTTCGGCGGCCAGCGTGCTCCCATGGACAGAGCTCCAGGAGAGAAAAGAACAGATTCTGGCAGCAAAGGGGCAGCGCCAGCGGGCGGAGGCCAAGAAGAAATGCCAGCCGTCAACCATTTGTTGGTTGATGCTCTGCCCAGGGTGAAGGGATGGCCGGGTGCGATGGCCGCAGGTTGAAGGGCTGCCCACCCCAGGCACAGAGACCTCTGGGGCAGGACCCACATCTCCACTCCCAGGACCATGGAATCCCTTACAGCTGCCCTGGGAGTGAAGAACAAGGAAAAAGCTCCTTTTCGCTAGAAACAGTCCACAGCTAAGCCAGGAAAAGCGAAGCCCAGTTAGTGCGTCAACGCGAACGCGGCAGCGGCGCCCAGGAAAGGATACCAAGAAGCACACCTCCTGGATGATGGCTCGACTCCTCTCCTCCTCGTTGGACAGCAGCCTCTGCGTCGGGAGGGAACGCACACACGGTTAGTCCACGCAGCAGAACAGATCAATGCAGCAACACCTGACCTACGTAGAAACTGGCAGCGTAGAGGCCCCTGGAAATGGGCCTCTGCAGCCCAAGGACACAAGAGAACTACACAGAGGAGTCTCTTCTGCAAACAGGCTGCAGTGAAATAGGATGAAAAAGGAGACGCGGCAGAAACGAGAGTCCTCACCCTCGTCTCCAAGTCACGTGGGCCCCTTACAGCTTAGCCGCACGCCCAGGACAGCCACGCCACTCCACTCCGCAGCCCAGGCTGGACACCAGCCACCGGATGAAGCCAGACAGCCCTGCCCACAGTCCCACCGTGAGCCTGCTCCGGGACATGCGAGCGTGGCCTGCACGCGTGGTCCACCCGAGTGGCTGTGCCGCTCCCGCCCTCTGCGGAGTCTCACTGTGTGCTCTTGGCACTCGAGCTACTCTCGCCCCCGGACCCCCAGCTGGACACCGCAGCCATAACGTCCACTGAAAGTGCTGATGGCTCCTTGCCATCAGAGGAAACTAACAGGACGAGAGAGAGCGCACAAAGAAACACTAATCGGGAACCCCCTCAACATGTCACTTTAGATTTCCTTAAAAGTAACCGAAACCCACGCAGAGCGTGCCGCCCACCTTACCTTCAGCGCATACTCTCGGCCACTTCCCAGATCCTGGGCCTCATACACGAATGCAAACCCTCCTGAAATCAGGAAAATGAACACATCAGTCCACGCTGGGATTTATTCAACATTTAGATGTCTTGACTGAGTCAACACAAACTGCACTTGTGGACAGCAGTACGTTTCCTGCAAAAATAATGGCTCCAATTTACACGCAAAATTCAGTAACAAAAGTTTTAAAAAGATACTTCCTCAAATTAGAACAGGTGCTGTGAGCAACCTCAGGAAAACAGGTCCAACATCCCTGCCCACGAGGGACCTCTCCCAGGACCCATCGGAGGCTCTCCCACCCTGTGGGTTGGCCCAGCAGTTCCCTCCCCGACTTTTGCAATTTAAATGGAAACATAGTTCACATTTTGAAGACTAGAAAGCTATCTAGCTCCACGACTGCCCAAAACCCATTTCGTGCTACAGTTGCAAATTCAAAAAAGCAATGAAAACCCGTATTTTCTTCCTAGGTCATTTGGCGGCAGACTATGACCAACTGTAAATGTACCGGTATCTGGGGCAACCCCTGGCATGAACTGACGTGGAGCCATTTAAAGCTCATCCCACAGCGACGACGCCCCCGCCCCCCTCCCGGCTGAGTTACCGACAGGTAGAAGCGCCTGATTACAGAGTGCCCCCAGCGCTAGGGGCACACGGGACACGTCATCGTTCTAACACCCGAGGAGCTCGGACCTGCTCCCTGGCCCAGGGTTTGGGGCTTGGGGCCTTCCCCGTATTCATACAAATCAGTCTGAGTGTCCACAGCCCGGGTTCCGAGGGAGCCATTTTACATGGAAGACTTCACACTGATTGCACCCGGTTCATTTCCAAGAGGCTCCCCGAGCTTTAGAGCTGTGAGCCGACAGGTTACTTTTATCTCCTGGCTCGCCTACAGGGCACAGGGAAGGGGCTGGCACATTTCCTCGTTGTTCTTCCTGGGCGCTGAGCGGAGGCGCAGCTGCCTTCTCGCCCTGACCCACTTCCCACCTGCGATCACCCCCCCAGCCCCTGGCCTGCTCCTGGCCGGACAGTCCCACTCCCGCCCCTCTCCCCACTGCGAGCCCGGGGGCTCCCCCTGCTGCCCTCCCATCATTGGGGCGCCCGTCTTATTTTAAGGCAGAAGCGCCTCCTGTCCGCCAGGAGTTTCTTAAGGAAACAAGGCAACTGCCTGGCATTTTCAGGACGAATGAGCGGCCGGGGAGGCGCCCGCACAGGGCTGGCCAGCTCTGAGAGGGCAGAGCCCGTGGCTCTCCGGATCACACCCACATGTTTCCGAAACAAACTGGAGGAAAGTAGGCGGTGCTGCTGCGGCCTTAAGAACAAGGACATCGGACCCAGAGAGGCCGTGTGGCCGCCTCAGCTGGCCGCGGGGACGGCCCTCCTCCTCCTGCGAGTCCACGTGCAACGCGGGGGGTCAGCGGGGTTGCTGCCCGCCAGGCCCGGAGCGGAAGCAGCAGGACCAGCAGGACGAGGAAGGCGGCCGCCCCGCGGGCACCCGGCACAGAGGTGAGGGGCCTCCCCAGCACCGGGGCGACTTCCGTGTGAGGAAGGGGGAGGCCATCGGGAGGCGAGGACCAGCTCGCAGGACCCGAGCCCACACGACAGGCCCCCGGACTGGGCCAGGGGCACGGACGGCCCGGCGGTCAGAGCAGGAAGCCGGCACAGGGCGCCCACGGCCCGGCCCAGCGCCCGGGGAGGACAGGGCTGCCCGCCCACGGCAGCCCCGACGTGAAGGGAAGGGTCTGCCTGGCGCCCGCCGCCGCGCCCTCTCCTCCAGCCTTCGGCCTCCGCGGACCCCACGCTCAGCCCAACTCCCCGCCGGCCCGGCCTCCACCCCAGGCCACAGCCCCCCGCCCCCCGCAGGTCGGCCGCACCTGCTGCGGGGGCCGCCCAGCCCCAGCCCGGCCCCCGCCCACCAGGAAGTGCCCGAGCCGAGACCGGCCTCCCCGCCCGAACAGGCCGGGACCCTCCCGCCGGCCACGCGCCGTCCGCCACGCGCTGACCCTCGGCGCCCGCCCTCCCGCCGGTCCGCGCCTCACCCTCGGCCAGGACCCGCCGCACCCGCAACCGCAGCTCGCCCAGCTCCACCGTCTGCCCCACGAAGTCGGTCTGGTCGCGGCCGGCAGCGCCGCCCAGGGCGCCGGGGCCCGCCAGGAAGTCGAGCGCGGACTGCAGCAGCGACATGGCGGCCCGCGGCGGGCGCGGGGGCTCGGGTCCAGGGCGTCCGGGCAGCTGAGCAACCGCCGGCCGGAGCCGCACCAGCTTCCGCCCCGACGCCGTGACGCAGGCCCGGAAGGACGCCGGCCTCTCACTTCCGCCCCCGCTGGGCGACGGCGCGTGCGCAGGGCCCTGGGCGCGGGCTGCGCGTGCGCGGCGGCGCCGGCCTCGCGGAGAACTTCCGGCTGTCGAGTTTCTGGCTCCCCCCAAGGAGCGGGTCGCGGGCGCTCGGAGCAGTGGCCCCGGGGCCTCCTGCCCGGATAGTCCGGCTGCCGGCTCAGCCCCGCCGGTTCCCCTGGGGGTCGAGTCTGCGGAAGCCGGTGGTCAGCTGCCCCGCCAGGCCCGGGCGGAGCCGGCTGCGTGTGCGGCCGACGGCCCCTGCGGGCGGGGGCGAAGGGGGCCGCGACAGCTTTAGCCGCGCAGCGACCCCGCGGCCCCTGCGACAGTTAGTGAGTAAGACTCGTTGCACCGTGGACGGCCCTGGCTTGTGGGGTTTGGGTGGGGGGGCACGTAAGTGGGTTTGTGTTTAAGAATTGGTTGTTACTAAAGGCTGGAAAACTTAAAAACCCAGGTTCCGTAGAAACGTCAGACCCAGAACCCCGAGTGTCACCAGTCACCTCGAGCCGCCCCCCACCCCTCGGGCAGACGGCCATTCGCAGACCTCGTGGCCGGTTTCTGTGCCTGGCGGGTGCAGCAGGCACCTGATGCTGCACCCCCTTCCACGGGGTATTCGGTCTCAAACCGATAGATGCACACGAAAGCCGGATACCCCCGAAGGCTGAGCTATCAGAGCGCTTCCCGGACTGGCGGCTCTGTTTGCTGCCAACTTAACAGTGACAGGAGCCTGGCTGACCCAGCGCCCTGATGCTCGCACACCCTTCGCTGCCGTCCTAGGGTATCTGGGAGAAGAAGGCAAGTCTGGTTAACCCTCCTTCTCCTTTTTGGGAGATGAGACAACATACCTGGCAATGGCGTTGCTTAGCCACGGTCAGCGAGCGAGCTGGCATGGCACACAGGTCCCATGGCCTCCCAGCCAGTGCGCTTGTCTGGTACATGGGAGACAGGGCTGGGGGGCCTGGCACGCCCCCCCTTGCTGCTCTCTGTCTCTGATTCTGACCCCTCTGGGGCCACACGGAAGTGAGATCGCACAGTGCTTGTCCTCTGTGGCCACTTACTTCACTTACTGAGCCCCGTGTCCTCCAGGTCCATCCACGTTGTAGCATCTGTCGGGACCTCCTTCCTTTAAGGCTGAGCAGCATCCTGATCTGTGGATGGACACGTTTGCTTACCACTCACCTGCAGACGGACACTCGGGTTGCCTCCGCGGTGAGGTGTGTGAGCAGGGGTGTGGCTTCATTCATAGCCACGCCAGACTGAGAACAACCCACATTTCACAGCTGGTGAACGGGGAGCATGTAGGTCCATCCACACCAGCAGGCGACTGCACAGAGAAAACGCTGGTACTCACAAAACACTAGTGGACCTCAGGTGCGTCCTGTGAGTGAAGGCAACCAGGCTCTCGAGGTGCCATGGGGCCACGCCCACCTGGGGGACAACATGGAAAAGGCAGAGTGACAGCAGCAACCTTAGTGAGCCTGCTGGTGTGGCCCAGTGGTTGCGCGTCAACCTCTGAATCAGGTCACAGTTCAATTCAGGTCCAGGGCACATGCCCGGGTTTCGGGCTCAATCCCCAGTGGGGGACATGCAGGAGGCAGCTGGTTAATGATTCTCTCTCATCATTGATGTTTCTCTCTCTCCCTCTCCCTTCCTCTCTGGAGTCAATAAAGATACTTTTTAACAAACATATGAAACTTAGCGGTGGCCGGGTTTGCGGTGGAGGAGGTTGGCCATAGAGGGACTGTTAGGGGCCCGGCTGGTGTGGGTGTGGGTGTGGGTGTGGTTGTGGTTGCCGAGAGACGTCCTCGGTTCCTTTTGTGTCTGTGGATCCTGCACTTGCCAGGAACGCTTAGGACCCACAGCGGTGAGTAAGCGAGAAGGAGAGAGACAGCTGCGGCAGCCCTGCAGGGGCCTGCTGCCGCCCTCATGTTTGTGTTCTCGCTGAGAGTCGTGTGGGAGGTGGGTGGTGGTTTTGTGTGAACATTCACATCAGTGGCCAACACTGTATTGTTGGGCAATTTGCCGTGTTCCTCTTGGTCTTGTGTTTCCAATTTTATTCATGTGGCTCTGCTTCGTCCATTGTCCCTTCCTGTCTCCGCTTGGGCCACAGACAGGAACTTACCTGGGCGTCTGCGACCAGGTGGCGGTTTTCGGGGAGGGCCGCTCGCTGGTCGCAGCCTGGCAACGTCCTCACAGCGGAGGCCCCGAGCCCGTCGCTGCCCCGTCGCGGCCTCATCCAACCCACCCCCCCCCGCCCGTCGGGCAGGGCCTCCTTCCACACATGACTCTCCAGGGACGCACACAGCCCATAGCACTTTCATTTTTTCTTTTTTAATCTTCACCCAAGCGTATTTTTTCCGTTGCTTTTTAGAGAGAGTGGGAGGAAAGGAAGTGAGAGGGGGAGAAAGAGAGAGAGAAACATTGATGTGAGAGAGACACATCATTGATTGGTTGCTGGAGATCAAACCTTCAACCCAGGAATGTGCCCTTGACCGGGAATCAAACCTGCGACCCTATGCTGTGCAGGCCGCTGCGCTAGCTGCTGCGCCACACGGCCAGGCAGTCCACAGCCCTTTCTAAGTCCATTTAAGTCCATTTGGGGTTTAATAATTTGCTCCCTTTAGAGGGTTTGGGGCGCTCACTGCTGAGCCAGGCGTGGGTGTGGACCCTGCATGCTGCTTCCCTGGCACACCCCAGGGACCCTGCCGGCTCCCTCAGCAGGCTCAGGCCCGTGCCTCTTCCCAGGCCCACCATGTCCGGGTCTCGGGCCCCGGAGCCGGCCCTCAGCGTGCAGGGAGACGCCACCACCAGCACAGGGGACGAGGACGAGGACGCTGCCCACGGGACCCAGCACTCCCATCGCATGCTGAGCTTCAGCGACGCACTGCTGTCCATAATCGCCACCGTCATGGTCTGTGGGGGTCGCACCCAGCTCAGAGCCCGCCCCCACCCAGAGCCACTCCCAAGGGACCCAGCCTCACCCTCCCGGGCAGCCTTTGGGTGGAGCCTGGCCCATCTCAGCAGCATCCTGGGCTCCCAGCCCCTCAGACACCTGCGGGGGGCGGGCTGGGGGAGAGCAGCCCAGCAGGGGCCCAAATCCCCAACACCAGCAGCGCCCGGCCAGAGAGAGAGACATCCCTCGGTCCCTTTTGTGTCTGTTGGTAGATCCTGCCTGTGACCCACACGGAGATCTCCCCTGAGCAGGTACTTGGGCACTGTCTGCAGCCTCTGGTGTGCGGGAGGGTCCACTCCAGTACCTGGCTGGGGAGGGACGCAGGGAGCCTGGGACAGGCTGGGGGGACACGGGGAGCCTGGGACAGGCTGGGGAGGGACGCAGGGAGCCTGGGACAGGCTGGGGGGACACGGGGAGCCTGGGACAGGCTAGGAGGGAGGGCGTCGGGTCCCTGCAGTGGGTGCTTGGAGCGAGGGCCTGGTGGCTGATGGCCTGAGAGACAGGTTAACGTCACAGAGTGAGTGGAAAGGGTGTTCTTCCTAAGGCAGAGTCCCCCTGAGCAGCCGGCAGGGTCCCCTGAGCAGCCGGCAGAGGCCCCCGAGCAGCCGGCAGGGTCCCCGTGAGCAGCCGGCAGAGGTCCCCGTGAACAGCCGGCAGGGTCCCCGTGAGCAGCCGGCAGGGTCCCCGTGAGCAGCCGGCAGAGGCCCCGTGAGCAGCCGGCAGGGTCCCCGTGAGCAGCCGGCAGAGGCCCCGTGAGCAGCCGGCAGGGTCCCCGTGAGCAGCCGGCAGAGGCCCCGTGAGCAGCCGGCAGGGGCCCCGTGAGCAGCCGGCAGGGTCCCAGTGAGCAGCCGGCAGAGGCCCCGTGAGCAGCCGGCAGGGTCCCCGTGAGCAGCCGGCAGAGGCCCCGTGAGCAGCCGGCAGGGTCCCCGTGAGCAGCCGGCAGAGGCCCCGTGAGCAGCCGGCAGAGGCCCCGTGAGCAGCCGGCAGGGTCCCAGTGAGCAGCCGGCAGGGTCCCAGTGAGCAGCCGGCAGAGGCCCCCGAGAGCAGCCGGCAGGGGCCCCCGAGAGCAGCCGGCAGAGGCCCCCGAGAGCAGCCGGCAGAGGCCCCGTGAGCAGCCGGCAGAGGCCCCCGAGCAGCCGGCAGAGGCCCCCGAGCAGCCGGCAGAGGTCCCCCTGAGCAGCCGGCAGAGGCCCCGTGAGCAGCCGGCAGGGTCCCCCCGAGCAGCCGGCAGAGGCCCCCCGAGCAGCCGGCAGAGGCCCCCGAGCAGCCGGCAGAGGTCCCCGAGCAGCCGGCAGAGGCCCCGTGAGCAGCCGGCAGAGGTCCCCCTGAGCAGCCGGCAGAGGCCCCGTGAGCAGCCGGCAGAGGCCCCGTGAGCAGCCGGCAGAGGTCCCCGAGCAGCCGGCAGAGGCCCCGTGAGCAGCCGGCAGGGTCCCCCCGAGCAGCCGGCAGAGGCCCCGTGAGCAGCCGGCAGGGTCCCCGTGAGCAGCCGGCAGAGGCCCCCGAGAGCAGCCGGCAGAGGCCCCCGAGAGCAGCCGGCAGAGGCCCCGTGAGCAGCCGGCAGAGGCCCCCGAGCAGCCGGCAGAGGCCCCCGAGCAGCCGGCAGAGGCCCCGTGAGCAGCCGGCAGAGGTCCCCCTGAGCAGCCGGCAGAGGCCCCGTGAGCAGCCGGCAGGGTCCCCGTGAGCAGCCGGCAGATTCCCCCGAGCAGCCGGCAGAGGTCCCCGAGCAGCCGGCAGAGGTCCCCCTGAGCAGCCGGCAGAGGCCCCGTGAGCAGCCGGCAGAGGCCCCGTGAGCAGCCAGCAGGGTCCCCCTGAGCAGCCGGCAGAAGCCCCGTGAGCAGCCGGCAGAGGTCCCCCTGAGCAGCCGGCAGAGGCCCCGTGAGCAGCCGGCAGGGTCCCCCCAGCAGCCGGCAGAGGCCCCGTGAGCAGCCGGCAGGGTCCCCGTGAGCAGCCGGCAGAGGCCCCGTGAGCAGCCGGCAGGGTCCCCCCGAGCAGCCGGCAGAGGCCCCCTGAGCAGCCGGCAGAGGCCCCGTGAGCTGCCGGCAGAGGTCCCCCTGAGCAGCCGGCAGAGGCCCCGTGAGCAGCCGGCAGGGTCGCCGTGAGCAGCCGGCAGAGGCCCCGTGAGCAGCCGGCAGAGGCCCCGTGAGCAGCCGGCAGGGGCCCCGTGAGCAGCCGGCAGAGGCCCCGTGAGCAGCCGGCAGAGGTCCCCGAGCAGCCGGCAGAGGCCCCGTGAGCAGCCGGCAGAGGTCCCCGAGCAGCCGGCAGAGGCCCCGTGAGCAGCCGGCAGGGTCCCCCCGAGCAGCCGGCAGAGGCCCCGTGAGCAGCCGGCAGAGGCCCCCGAGAGCAGCCGGCAGAGGCCCCGTGAGCAGCCGGCAGAGGCCCCCGAGCAGCCGGCAGAGGTCCCCGAGCAGCCGGCAGAGGCCCCGTGAGCAGCAGGCAGGGTCCCCCTGAGCAGCCGGCAGAAGCCCCGTGAGCAGCCGGCAGATTCCCCCGAGCAGCCGGCAGAGGCCCCGTGAGCAGCCGGCAGGGTCCCCGTGAGCAGCCGGCAGAGTCCCCCTGAGCAGCCGGCAGAGGTCCCCGTGAGCAGCCGGCAGAGGCCCCGTGAGCAGCCGGCAGAGGCCCCGTGAGCAGCCGGCAGGGTCCCCGTGAGCAGCCGGCAGAAGCCCCGTGAGCAGCCGGCAGAGGCCCCCCTGAGCAGCTGGCAGAGGCCCCGTGAGCAGCCGGCAGGGTCCCCGTGAGCAGCCGGCAGATTCCCCCGAGCAGCCGGCAGAGGCCCCGTGAGCAGCCGGCAGGGTCCCCGTGAGCAGCCGGCAGGGTCCCCGTGAGCAGCCGGCAGAGGCCCCGTGAGCAGCCGGCAGGGTCCCCGTGAGCAGCCGGCAGAGGCCCCGTGAGCAGCCGGCAGGGTCCCCGTGAGCAGCCGGCAGAGGCCCCGTGAGCAGCCGGCAGAGGCCCCGTGAGCAGCCGGCAGGGACGCCGTGAGCAGCCGGCAGGGACGCCGTGAGCAGCCGGCAGGGACGCCGTGAGCAGCCGGCAGAGGCCCCGTGAGCAGCCCGCAGAGGCCCCCGAGAGCAGCCGGCAGAGGCCCCGTGAGCAGCCGGCAGGGTCCCCGTGAGCAACCGGCAGGGTCCCCCTGAGCAGCCGGCAGAGATCCCCGTGAGCAGCCGGCAGAGGCCCCGTGAGCAGCCGGCAGAGGCCCCGTGGCAGCCAGCGTGGAGCATTTCTGCCCTGTGGGGTAAACAGCACAGTTAGGAGCGGACCTGGCTCCAGGAAACACTGGGAGGTCCTGGGGTGCCTCCTCCTGTGCAATCGGTGGCACCCTCTCGGCCTGGGGGTGAGGACGCCCCACACGGCTGTGGTCTGGTCCCAGCAGTGCACGTGGCCTGGATGTCCCGGGGACGTGGGTGCTTGGTTTGGCTTTCTCCTCGGACAGGTGGTGACTGCCTCTCGCAGGGCTTGGGAGAGAGTTCACTAGGAAGGCGGTGGGTCTGCCCTGGGCAGCAGCAGCCACACTGACAGGATAGGCGGGCGCAGTGCCTGTTCCCCAGCCCCCCTGGGGGCGCCTGCAATGCTCAGGGTAAGTGCAGCCGCCTGACCCCTGACCAGACGTCCTCTGTCCCCACAGTTCGACAGAAGTATCCAGAAACTTCTAGCAACCAGGATTGCCGTCTACCTGATGACGTTCCTCATCGTGACCGTGGCCTGGGCAGCACACACGAGGTGCCAGCTGGGGCGGCTGCAGCTTTGCCACCTGGGTGGGGTCCCTGGCAGCTACGTGCACTCAGCGCCCACTAGGTCCCATTCCGGGGGTTGGCTAGCTGCCCCTCACTTGCTGGGCTAAGCCCCAAGGGCATCGGGCAGTGGGCTCCCCTTCGCCAGTTCTCATCCAGGCCTCTGCTTTGTCCCTGCACATGGCCATGCCAGGCCTGGGGCAGTGAGGGGAGAGCTCCCAGGTCTGGGTGGGGCATCGCTGCTGCCTTCTAGAGCTGCCTGGGACACACAGGGCAGGGCACAGAGGGATGGAGGGACGCCCTCAGCTGTGGCCAGCGCCCTGGGCCTGAGCTGCTCTCCCAGACAAGCTTCCTTAGGATCTGAGGGAAAAGGGCCTCAGCACTGCGGGGACCCAGAGCCCAGCAGGCGCCAGGGAGGGAGTTGGGGCGGGGGCACCTGGGAAGCGAATGCTCCGGCTGAGGGGTGCTGGGCGGTGCTTTAGGCTTGGCCCTTGCACTAAGTGTCTCTGCTTTCAGCAAAGTGACAGCTTCCTCCAGTTTCCCTCCCCCCCACCCCCCTCACAGAGAGGAGGCGGCAGCCCCTCTGGCCGTCGTGCTCACGCTGGCAGGCTGCGCTGGTTCACCCGAGGCCACACCCTGTGCCAGAGTCTGGCCTCAGGCCCCAGGAGCCTGCCCTGGCCTGGGACCTGCCCTGAATGCCGGCCCTGGAGGCCACGCTTGGCCCCTGGTGGACACAGACCACCAGGTGGAGGACTCAGCCACTGAGCCAGACCAGGAGCAGACGCATCCTGGGGCCGGAGCCCTGAGGAGACTCGGGCAGGAAGGCAGGCGGCTCGGTGTGTCTCCAGCTGCTGGGCCGACTTGGAAGCTGTGTGCGTGGCTTTGGCTTCCTCGCCCGCACGACGTGGAGCCTGGGAGCGGCTGTTCCGTGGGTGCCGTGGGGGCCATCCTGAGAGGGAGTCCTTGTCTGTTTTTTCTTTATCTGATTTTTTTAAGGTATTTTACTTTATTTCTTTTTAAATATATTTTATTGATTTTTTAACAGAGAGGACGGGAGAGGATTAGAGAAACATCGATGAGAGAGAAACATCGACCAGCTGCCTCCTGCACACCCCACACTGGGGATGTGCCCACAACCAAGGTACATGCCCTTGACCGGAATCGAACCTGGGACCCTTCAGTCCATAGGCTGACGCTCCATCCACTGAGCCAAACCGGTTACGGGCTAAGATTTTTTAAATTGATTTTGCGAGAGAGAGAAACAGCTATGTGAGAGCAAAACACGGGCGGGCTGCCTCCTGCCCAGCCCTGTGGGGGAACAAGCCCGCATCCGGGAGGGGCTCTGACAGGCAACCCTTCAGTGTACAGGACGACGCCCACCCCTGAGCCGCACAGGCCACGGCAAGGCTTCCTTACTTCAATGGCCTTTGGACCCGAGGCCTAAAGAGCAAGTCTGCTGTGGGCCTCACACCTCGGGACAGGCCACCACGGCCTCCCTCGGGCCCCATGGCCAGCCTGCCCCAGGCGTGAGGACATGACCCCGGCGCTGCCAAGCGTGTCCGTTGGTTTCCACAAACTGCTTCTGCTCGAGCAGCCGCTGCGAATGAGAAGAAGGAACGGACACGTGTGGAGGCCGACGTGTCCGTCTCGGGAACCTCCGAGCACGGCGGAGTTTTAAATGTGGTTACAGCGGCGAGTGGCGATGGTGCTGCTGGGCCCGTGTTGTTGATGGCCGTCTCCGGCCTTTCTCACCGTCTTAGGTTGTTCCAGGTTGTTGGGAAGATAGACGACACCCTGGCCTTGCTCAACCTGGTGAGTTTCCTCCCCCGAGGGGAGGCGACTGCATGTGGCTCCTCCCTCCCAGGAGTGAGGAGCGAGGCTCTGGGCTCCTCTGCGTCTCAGCCAGTTCCTTCCGCTGAGAAGATAGGGGTGGGCAGCGTGGGGGGGGGGGTGCCCTGCCCACACCCTCCTCCCTCCTGACCCCCCGTCCCCGCCCAGGCCTGCATGATGACCATCACCTTCCTGCCCTACACGGTGAGTACCGGCCGCTCCCAGGCCTCACGGAGCCCCCCCCCCGCACCCCCCCCTCGGGGTCCAGCCCGCCCTCGCCTGGTTAGAGGACTCGGGACCCAAGATGCTCCCTCCTCAGGACCTCAGCCCAGCGGGGGGGGGTGCAGGCAAGAAGGAGAGGAGGCTGGGGGCCAGCAGGCGTGCTGCCTGGGAGGGGGCACCTGGGTGTGCAGGCGGGTGAAGGAGGGACGCCCCAGGGGCCCTAGCAGCCTGCAAGGCAGAGACGTGCCTGGGCCTCCAAGGCCGATGGGGGGCACCCCCTCCCCACTTACTGGTTCTCCCAGCTCCCGCCTGGCCCCCAGCCCACACCCAGTATGTGGCTCCCCACCCTGCCCGCCTCTCCCTCTGCACCTGACAGAGAAGAGTGCTGAGTGCAGGGCTGCGCATCAGGGAGGGGCCTGGCTCAGCTCTAAGGGCCAAGTCTCCGGTTGGCTTGCTGTCCTCCTGGGGACGCCCTGGGGTCCTGGCCACCCCGCCCAGACCAAGAGGCTCATGGCCTGGACTCTGGACCTGCTTTTGTGTTTTGGCTGCAGTTTTCCTTGATGATGGCCTTCCCAGAGGTGCCGCTGGGCATCTTCCTGTTCTGTGTGTGCGTCATCGCCATCGGGGCCGTGCAGGTAGGCCACCCCCCTCCCCCGCCTGGCCTCCCACGTGCAGCCTCTCGGAGCAGGGTGCGGGGTGGGTGGGCGCAGTGAGCGCCGTGGGGCGCCTGCCTGCCCTGGGACACCTGCCGTGGCCAGAGCCGAGTATCCAGAGGCGGGCCTGGGCCCGTGCCAAGTGGAGAGAGAGTGAAGAGACCCACATGCACAGAGCAGGGTGCCTGTCCCCTCCACGCCCCCAGCACGTCCACGGGGGGCCAGACGGCGGAGCCCGCCCTCCAAGGCCCGTCCTCTGCTGGTCCTGCAGCCTCGCCCTCCTGCAGGCGCTGATCGTGGTATACGCCTTCCGCTTGCCCCACCTCCTGAACCCCCAGATCGGGTGCTCCGCCCACCGGGGCCTCTACCGGCGCCACATCCTGCACATCGTCCTCCGGGGCCCAGCGCTGTGCTTCCTGGCAGCAGGCTTCTCCCTGTTCTTCTACCCGGTGGTGAGTAGGGGTGGAGAGGGGGGAAGGCGGAGGGGAGGGTGACACCTGGTGGGGAGGGGAGGGCCCAGCCGCAGGAGGAGGGCATGTAAGTGGGCACAGCGGGAGGCTTGTCGGCTCATGTCCCCAGGGCCCACCTGTGCAGGTGTCAGGTCCTGCTGGCTTGTCCTCCCCGTGACGGTCCAGGTGCCAGTGGGCCGTGCACTTAGCCGTCCCTCCCTCCATGGACACTGGGCCGCGGCAAGCAGGGTGCCCAGAGCCCTCTGGGACCCGCTCTCCTGGGCGAGCGCGCGGAGGTGGGGCTGCGGGTCGTGGGTGGGCTGTGTGATTCGGGGGAAGCTCCCGTTCGCCACAGCGGCTGCACCTCCGTGTGTTCCTGCCTCAGTGCACCAGGCTCCCGCGCCCCCTCCTCGCCAGCACGGTGCCTGGTGGTGTGAGGGGCTCGCTGTGGCCTCGGTCCGGTGGGGTGCTGAGCAGCCTCGGGGCATGAGGGCCCCGACTCCCCATTGAGTGGAGCTGGGGTCCTGTATTGGACGTGGTTGGGGGGCGTCTGCTCCCTCCCTGGAACGTCCTCTGAGGCGCCCAGTCCACCTCGACGAGGTGGGAGTCACCTGTGCCCCCGGGGTGCCCCACCCTTCAGAGCAGATCTGACATGTCTGTGTCTTGCAGTCGTACCTGCTGATGGCGACGGTCATCTTCCTCCCCTACGCCAGCAAGGCGGCCAGCTGGTGCAGAGGCCGGCTCGTGGGTGCGTCCGGGTGCTGCGCCAGGGCCCAGCCCTTGCCTGGTGCCCCTGGGGGTCCCCTCCTGCCTGCATGCTCCCGGCCCCTCGGGGAAGAGGGAGGCCATGTCCTGTGGGTCCACAGCATGTGAGCTCCTCCTCCTGCCACACCACAGGCCCCCGGGAGCCCCCAGCCCCCAGCATGGAGTTCTTTACCTATGACCTGCAGGAGCCGCTCAGCAAAGAGCGGGTGGAGGCCTTCAGCGACGGGGTCTACGCCATCGTGGCCACGCTCCTCATCCTGGACATCTGGTAAGGGTCCCGCTCAGGCCGCCCGGGCGTACTGGGCGGGGCTCCCTGTCCCTCCTCAGCCCCCAGAAGGAACCCGCCCTGGGCAGGGATCTCCGCCAGCAGCCCCACCTGATCGCCTCGGGGTCCTGCTTTTACTTCCGAGGTTTACCTGCTGCCTGCCAGTCTCCCTCTGGTTTTTCTGTTAATCCACACGCAAGGATGTGCTTTTCCATTGGTGTTTAGAGAGAGTGGAAGGGAGGAAGGGGGAGAGACACATCGATGGGTTGCCTTGTGCACACACCCGGAAGGGGCGGGGATTGAACCTGTAACCCTTTGGTGTGGGGGGCAACGCTCTGACCATTGAGCACACTGGCCAGGGCCTCCTCCGTTTTACAGCCTGTGTTCCTTGTTAAGTTTCAGTAGATCCTATTTCATTGACATGCTAGGAACCCTGATTCCGTGTTCTGTGTCTGACAGTCTGAGGTCTAATTCTCTCTTGGTAACTCTTTTTACTGTCATTTGTAAGTTTTTGAAATTGGGAGTAAGTGTCCACTGGGACCGATCTCTGAGGCCTAGACCTGAGCTTCTGAAATGACCTGCGGCTAGCTCGGCCTCCGTGAGCGGTGTGTGGACTGGCTGGGGTTGGGGGAGGGAGGTTACTGCTTCCACTCTATCCTCCGGGCCTCATGGGGTCCCCTGGGCTCTGTGTCCTGCTTCCTCCTTCAACCCTGGAGCCCAGCCCCCCTCCCGCTGACATGTGCAGCACCCCTATGGGGCGCGTCTCAGGCGCCTCACACGGGGACCCGAGAGCTGCCACAGGCAGCTGCCCCCACGGCCTCGGCCTCGGGGAATTCGAGTTGCTCCCTACCATCCCGTCTGCGTTCTGTGCCCCAAGTGGACAGGCCACTGCAGGAGGGTAGACAGACAGCACAGAGGCCTCGGCCCCGGGCTCCAGGCAGGGCTGCCCGATAGCACAGGATGCAGGCTGCACTCGCTTGAACCCAGATGGAGGCCAGTGGCCGCTTGCTGTACGGAGCGTGTGTGTAAATAGGGGATAAGATGGACAGCAGCCTGGGGCGGGCGCTGACCCACACCTGCGTGAGGCTGCTCAGGCCCCGTCTGTTCCCCTCCCAGCGAGGACAACGTCCCAGACGCCAAGGTCGTGGAGGAGAGGTTCCAGGGCAGCCTGGTGGCCGCGCTGAGCGTGTACGGGCCGCAGTTCCTGGCCTACTTCGGCTCCTTCGCCACCGTGGGCCTGCTCTGGTTCGCCCACCACTCCCTCTTCCTGCACGTGCGCAAGGCCACGCAATCCATGGGGCTGCTCAACACGCTCTCGCTGGCCTTCGTGGGTGGCCTGCCCCTGGCCTACCAGCAGACCTCGGCCTTCGCCCAGCAGCCACGCGACGAGCTCGAGAGCGTGCGCGTCAGCTGCGCCATCATCTTCTTCGCCAGCATCTTCCAGTTCGCCATGTGGACCGCGGCCCTGCTGCGCGAGGCGGAGACGCTGCAGCCCTCGGCGTGGTTCGGGGGCCAGGAGCACGCCTTCATGTGCGCCAAGCTGGCGCTCTACCCCTGTGCCAGCCTGCTGGCCTTCACCCTCACCTGCGTGCTGAGCAGGTTCAGCACGGCCATCTTCCACAGCATGCAGATCGCCGTGCCCTTCGCCTTCCTGCTGCTGCGGCTCCTCGTGCGCCTGGCGCTGGCCCTCCTGCGGGCCCTGCGGGGCCTGGCCGCGCCCGCCCGGGACACCATGGACCCAAGGGCCCCACCGCTCCCTGCCCCCTGCTAGCACCGCCCCTGCCAGGACTCGGCTTTGTGGGGGCACGCGCCCATCTGTGTCCTGGGCCCACCCAGGCTCGGGCAGCTGTGTGGGGCTGGCAGGTGGGTGTGCTGTGGCCCTGGGTCCTCAGTGCCAGGCAGGCCCTCCTGGGACCCCATGGCCCAACCTGGCCCACCCTCCCAACGTGCAGACCACCCTCCCCACAGTGGTGCCGACGCAGAGACAAGCGAGACGCAGCAGGCCGTGCCCAGACTGTATTGCCGACCTACGTCAGGGCTGCAGGTCGCATGTGGCACAGGAGGCACTGGTGCGAAGCCACAGACACATCTGGGCACAGACGCACGTAGACAACAGGACAGCCATCACCCACGATTTAGAGTCACAGCAGAGCCGCAGGGAGAGACAGGCACAGGACAGGGCAGGGGACGCGGCACACGGGACGAAGGCTGCTCAGTGCATGTCAGTGCAGCTTTGGCAGAAGCTGGGGGGGGGGGGGGCACATCTGAGGCTGAGGCCAAACCTCGGCAAATAGCAGCAAAGGGACCGGCACAGGGCCGGAGGGGGAGAAGGGCATGGTCTGTGGTCCCCCTCTGGGGCCTCGGGGCTTCCCAGGCAGGGTGTTTGGTCAGGTTCCTCCGGGTGACCCATGGCCCGGCAGCCACGCCCCCTGCTGGGCCTCCACGTGAGGGACAGGGACTGCAGGGCCCGTCCGCGCCGGGAGGGCCACGTTCATTGTTGGCAAACAACACAAAGTGCGAGTGGTCCCTGGTGATTAAAGCTGGTTCCCCCACATTTCCCGCGTCTCCACGTTCTCTGGGCCTGGGACACAGGTCTGCTCAGCTCTGGTCCCATCAGGCACTGCTGCCCACCTTCCCACTGCCTCCAGGCCCTGCACGCCATCCTCAGGAAGGTGGCTGAGCCCATCAGGCAGGCCTTCCTGTGCAGTCCCGTCGCCACTCCTGGCCACAGCCAGGCTCGGGTGACGAGGTCAGGTCTGGGGCTGGTGGCAGGCAGGTACCCACATCTCTGCTGGGCACACCGGGACCCTCGGAGCCGGCGACTCCAGGAGCATCTGGACCACCCAGGGGACAGAGGAGCCCCTGCCCACCCGTCACTGGTTGGGAGGCAGGGTTGTGAGGAGGAGCCCCGAGGTCAGGGCTGCAGACGTCCATCCATGGCCTGCCACTGAACAGGCACAGGCTGCTCAGGGCCTCCTACTTGAGGCCCCCCTCGGGGGTAGGCACCTCGTCCGCTCGGGCATCCTTGGGGGTCCCAGCCTTCTTGGGCTTCTGCTTGGCCTTCCTGAGCATGTGGACCTGTCCCGGGGCAGGGGGGGTCAGAGGGCAGGACACTGCAGGCGACCAGAAGCCCTGGTGCCATCTCAGCCCGTGTCACAGAAGGGCAAAGAGTGGGGGCACGTGGCTGTGGCCTGTGGGGCAGGGGCTCCAGCCCCACCACGGCCCAGCAGATACGCCTCCTCCAGAGGCCTGGGGGCTCGTTTCCACAGAGGAGAGGCAGGTGCTCTCGAGGGCCCATCTCGCCGTGCCTGCCAGCCCACCGGGTGCACCCCACGACTCACCTTCGGGCCCACGGCTGAGATGATCATGTGGCCGGGAGCCTGGACCCAGGGCTCCCCGTCCACCTGCACGGGTGTGGCCTTGAGGAGGGTGACCCGGAAGTAGGCCCCTTGGGCGATGCGGATGCCAGAGCGCAGCCCACCTTGGACCTGGCCCTGGGGGGAGGGGCAGCGGCTCAGCGCTCGGCCGCGGCAGCACCCGGCCCGCCCCCGGCCCCCATACTCACCATGTGCATGACGCCGGTCACCCCCACCACCTCCAACAGCCCGTCGTCCATCCGAGGCTTCTCAAACCTCGAGTCGCTGTCGGAACCCCACAGGTCAGCCCCTGAGCCCCAGCTGTGCAGAGAGGGAGGGGTGCACGAGTGAGGGTGCAGGCTGCACGGGCCCCGCGCCCTCCCAGCCGAGCTAGAACCAGCAGGAGCCGAGGCCACTGGGCAGAGTCCTCCCCCGCCAGGACCCCCGCCCCAGGCACCTGGGGATGTTGATGAAGATGAGGCCCTCGATGCTGGGCAGCTCCACCTCCTGCTGCTCCACCTGCAGCCGGATCTCCTTGTGCAGGCTGCGCGCGTGGCTCATCTTCTGCAGCCCCACGCGCACGTACACGCCTTTGTTGTGGAACCTGCGGAGGACACACCTGCTGTTCTCGGGGGCCCTGGCCGCCTCACTCAGCCCCATGCCAGCACCTCTCCAATTCCTGCCGGGAGACCCGGGAAGTGCGGTCACCACGCGCCCTGCTCTGCCCGGAGCCACCCCAACGCCTCAACCCCGCACCTGCTGGTGAACTTGCTGGGCTCCTCCTCCCGCGCCTGGTGGAAGTCCAGGCTGAGCTCGGCGTCGATGCCGATCCCACAGTAGTTGCTCATCTGCACGATCTGGGGGCAGACAACTCTCCGTGGCCTGGGCAGCCCTCCTGGGGCCCCGGCTCCAGCCCGACTGCACCGCGCGTGGGAGCTGCCCCTCCGTGACGGCCCTGCTTGGTAGCTGCCAGCACCGGGAGAAGCTACACGGCACGTGGTGCTGGTGCGAGTGAGCGGGCTCACAGCCAGCAACCACTGCTCCTGAGCCTCAACGCCCCTTCCCTAAAGGGGCTGGTCTGGCACCTGCACCAGGGAGGGTCCCCCGCGGGGCCCACAGCCACCACTCCGCCCGCACGCCGCACCTTGGGGGGCTCCAGGTCTGCCACACCGTTCTCGGCACCGCCGGCCTCGTGCGCGTCCAGGAGGATGGTCCAGCGGTCCACCAGCACGGCGTCGGCCTCGTCCACCGACACCAGCACCGAGAGCGGGTCCTCCCCGCTGTAGCCCGGCCCCCAGCGGAGGACCCGGCCCAGGTCATTCCCTGGGACAGGGCGAGAGGCAGCCTGACTCTCCAAAGGCCCCGCCTCCCCCCCAGGGCCTCCAGGAAGGGATCCCCAGGCCCCGCCCCCGCACCGGGGCTGCCCCACCTGTGCCCAGGGGCAGGATGGCCACAGCAGGCTCCGGGCAGGCCAGCTGCTGCCGCATCTCCTCCAGGGCCGCCAGCACCCAGCCCACGGTGCCGTCCCCTCCACACACCAGCACCCGGAAGTGGGGAATCTGGGCGAACACATGGAGCCTGGAAGGAGGGAGGCGGGGACCGTGTGCCACAGGCAGGAGGAGGGGCCTGGGGTGGGGGCTGCAGCTCACCCCCACCCGAGACACCGAACCCCAACTGTCCCACCGGCCCGTCGACAGGTGTGAGAGCCCCCACCAGACTCACGCAGGCAGAGGCCCCCCGTTGGTCAGCTCGAAGACCTGGTGAGGGTTCAGCAGCTTCCGGAAACTGCAGAGCAGGTCCCGGCCCTTGAGGCCTCCGCTCTTGGGGTTCACAAACACGAGGAGGGGGCAGCAGTCTGGGGGCAGCTTCGTGTGCTGAGAGACGGGAGCCGAGTTATGGCAGGTGTCTCCCCCACCTCGCTGCCTGGGCAGTGGCTGCCCCCACCCCTCAGCCCACCTGGCCTGAGCCCACCTGGAGCAGCCCCCTCCCCAGGAAAGAGCCCAGGGGGCCACACAGCATCCCCGCTCGCCACTGACCTCTGGGCCACCGGAGGCAGAGGGGGCAGCGCAGCGGCAGCCTGGAGCTCTAGCTCTCAGGCCGGGGCCCAGCCGCTGACACGACCTGAGACCGAGCCCACCGCCTCCTCCAGGCAGCCCAGCCGGGCGGCACCTGCCCCTCTAGAGCCTCCTGGTGCAGCCTGGGAGGCCGAAGCTCCCAGGACCCCGCCCACCACACAGCAGCCAGGAGCCCAGTTCCCAGGGAGACCACACACCGCCCTCCCCACAAGGTCAGGACGAAGCCCTCCTCCCCAATCTCCACAATACAGTGTCCAGGAGACAGCGGGCAGGAGGCCGGGGTCCCTGGGCGAGGCAAGTCTGGGGGCTGGGGTCCCCACAGTGAGGTGGCTGCTGGCTGAGACATACAGGTTGGGCGCTAACTCCATAACCAAGAACACACTTGGGGTGACGTGTGACCCACGGCAGAGCTGCCTGCAGCACCATGCTCCGCTCACTGGGCAGGAGGCACCCGGGAGGGCAGTGCGAGTCAGCACCGGCCAGCTCTGCTCAGGGCTGGTGGGCATCCTGTCCGAAGCCAGCTCAGGGGGAGGGGCAGAGGGCACCTGCAGGCATCGCCCACTCGGTCATGCTCAGGTCACAGCTGTCACTCTGCTTCCCCTGAACCCTCAGGGGCAGGGCAGCTGCAGACACCTGGGGACCCCTCACCCTGCCCTGACCCATGTTGTGCCCATGGTGGAGCCCACCCTCGTCCCGGGCTGGCTGCCAGGCACCCTTCTCCAGGCACCCTTCTCCAGGCACCCCTCCTCCAGGCACCCCTCCTCCACCACCCTCCTCCAGGCACCCTCCTCCAGGCACCCCTCCTCCACCACCCTCCTCCAGGCACCCCTCCTCCAGGCACCCCTCCTCCACCACCCTCCTCCAGGCACCCCTCTTCCAGGCACCCCTCCTCCACCACCCTCCTCCAGCCACCCTCCTCCAGGCACCCCTCCTCCACCACCCTCCTCCAGGCACCCCTCCTCCAGGCACCCCTCCTCCACCACCCTCCTCCAGGCACCCCTCCTCCAGGCACCCCTCCTCCAGGCACCCCTCCTCCAGCCACCCTCCTCCAGGCATCCCTCCTCCACCACCCTCCTCCAGGCACCCCTCCTCCAGGCACCCCTCCTCCACCACCCTCCTCCAGGCACCCCTCCTCCAGGCACCCCTCCTCCAGCCACCCTCCTCCAGGCACCCCTCCTCCACCACCCTCCACCACCCTCCACCACCCTCCTCCAGGCACCCCTCCTCCACCACCCTCCTCCAGGCACCCCTCCTCCAGCCACCCTCCTCCAGGCACCCCTCCTCCACCACCCTCCACCACCCTCCTCCAGGCACCCCTCCTCCACCACCCTCCTCCAGGCACCCCTCCTTCAGCCACTCCCCTCCAGGCACCCTCCTCTGGCAGTGCTAGGTCTGCAGGACAGTGTCTGGTTAGAGAGTGCCACCTGCTGGCTGAGGCGGCCAAAGGCACGGGCAGGGGGGCCAGGCCCAGGGACCCCAGGGAGGGCAAGGGCCTGTGGGAAGTCCTCTTGGTCTATGGAGGCCTCTCACATGTGTGAATCAGGCGTATGTGGCAGACGCCCAAGCATTGGATAAAACCAGCAGTGGAAGCCACATCCCCCCAGGCCCAGCTCCACTCACCAGCACGTCGGGGAGCACCAGGGCGGTCAGCAGCCGGCCGTGCACAGCTGTGTCCCTGACCAGCATGTACAGCCGCTCGGCCTCTGCGAAGCAGGCCACATCCAGCACCACGGCACCTGTGGCAGGTGGGCTGTGAGCTCAGGCCACGCCAGGTTCAGGTCAGCCCACTCAAGGGCGTCCAGAGGGTGCAGGCCCACCCCCTGCCCGGGGAGCCTCACGGAGGGCCAAGATGCTGTGGGTGGAGGTGAGGGAGGCCCTCGGGGCGCAGGACAGAACACCCTCCCACCCCGGCCCCCCCAAGCCCCTGGGACCCTCGGGGGACGAGCCCACTTCATTTCTGGGAGATGTGAAGTTTTCCGTGACCAGGATGTGAATCCAGGGCAGGATGGCAGCGTTCTGGCCTCGGTCATGGTTTAGCAAAGCATGACCCCCGAGGGCCAGGGAACAAAACACATGCCCCTCCCCCGCGGCTCCCACGGCCAAGGGGAGGGGCTCTTCCCTTT